CAAATTCAATTCTACAATACAAAATTGTAAAATTTCTATAAGTATCTAACAATAACAAAATGTAATATTACAACAAATGCAATACAATAAAACATTTTGTAATTTTTCGGAATTTGGGTTAAGATTGCTCACTAAAACCCCCTGTATATGTGAGTTTTACAATTTTAGACAGTTTTAGAATTCTTCAGGAAATTTAGACAGTAAATAACATTTAGCAAAAAACACGGTCTCGAGGAAGGAATTCTTTAACGAGGTAAATATACGAGCACTATAATCTATGGTTAAATATGAGAATAGCGTTGACAGTTTTATAGTGTGGCTGTAGACGTTTACAACTATTCATTCATCCAATAGTTTAACTTTGCCAGGTTGGTAGGTATAGTGCGTGCAGTTAAACAGTTTCGTTCGAAAATTAAAAAAAAAACATGCAAATATATTTTATTTTTGTTCCTTATTATTATATATCTACATATATAAATAGATGTACTAAAACCTCCAGTCGATATTTTTTAGCAAAGCTGAAATTCCATTCGGGACATTGCGATGCATCACCTAACTTAATAAGAATTTATAGGTACATCAGTTCTGATTGAAAAATGCTAAGTGAAAATTTATGGGGATATAATTCTCAACTTCATTCGAAAGATTTTCAATTACAAACGATAAGAAAACGTTAAATTGATTAAACTCACTGAAGTAGGTATAGAATAAAAAAGGTAGACCTTTTTATGCAGATTCGAATATATGAATTATGAAATTCTGAATTTAGCAGTTTGCTTTTGAAATGATAGTTATGGTTATTACCGAATGAAATATTCAAATGAGTAGTAAATCTAAATCTAAAATTTAAAAAGTTTTGACCCAGCCTTTGTCAAGCGTATTTCATAACCAATGAGCCATCAGTCACTTTTATAAAAATCAATTTTATTCGTCCATAAATATTGCTCGTAATATTTTAAAGTTGATTATTTCCCTCATTATAATATGAACCAATCAAAAGCCTTGAATTTTCGAATAAATTTCGTTTAAATAAGCGATTAAATCACTAGAACTATTTAAATTTTAGCCTCCATATTGAATTTTTGTTTACGATTTTATGGTGTTATTTACAAGTTTTAACAAACATTTTTAAAAAAACAATAAAAAAATAAGTTATCTAGTTTACGAAATATCAATTATTACTTATTACTAGGGATGGGATTTTACCTTTTTTTAACCAATGTAACTATTTGAAAACCAATAATGCCAAAATGTGTTTTAAAAGATTTTCTTTTATATGAACCTAACTTGTTTTTACCTTTTTTCGAGGTTTTTGCTTTTAACTACCTTTTTTATACTTTTGTTACCTATTTTTTTTAACTTTTTTCACCTTTTTTACCTTTTTTGAGGTTTTTGCTTAAAACTACCTTTTTATACTTTTGTTACATATTTTTTAATTTGACAGTTTATTTTCATATGTTTGTTACCTATTTTTACGTATTTTTACTTATTTTATTTTTTTTGTTCTTTTTAAAATTTGCGCCAATATTTTATCCAGGGCGTGCAACTCAACGGTATAGAATTTTTTCTTATGGTTACAGACTGTAACAGTAACTTTCTTTACAGTTACCTTCTTTGTAGTGACTCACTACTAGTGAGCTTATGTTCTGTCATAGAACTTCTGTGTAGTGAGTGTCACTCAGTAAAACACAGTTTATTGCATAGAAATAGTTTATTGTGGGTATGTTCTGTGTTTGGGTATGCGGCTAAACAAAATTATAAACGAAACTTAAACTTTTAATGTTTTTTTTTACCTAAAATGCTGTTTTTTGAGTACCTTTTTAGATACCTATTTTTCAGTTTTTAGTACCTAAATGTCCCATCCCTACTTATTACATACCTTAAATTAATGGAATTTTCTTTAAAAAAATATTTATAAATTTTGACACATACGTCAGATTTTATGAATTGTCAAATAGTTTCCTTTAATTCGAGAAATGAGTACCTTAGATGCAAAACTCGGTTTTTGCAAATTTAAAAAAAAAAAAAATTGGCTTTAAATTCTGTTTGGTGTTCGTCCTAGATAAATGGCGTTTATAAAACTTGATACATAATAATATATATAATATAATATTATTATGTATTAAGTTTTATGAACGCCATTTATCTAGGACGAACACTAAACAGAATTTAAAGCCAATTTTATTTTATTTTTTAATTTGCAAAAACCGAGTTTTGCATCTAAGGTACTCAAATAATCTAGACGTATATCACTCAACCTATAAATTTAATCTGTCAAACTATGCTCAGTAAGTTTTTTATTTGATTTTTCTTTTTGGAAAATAGTTTCATGAAAAATAATTAAAAATAAAACCCATAAAACCCCATTCAACATTTTCCAACAAAAACCAAACAAAAAACTACTGAGCCTAGTTTAACCGATTAAATTCATAGTTCTCGTGATATAATATATGAATATATTTTTTGTGTTGCTGTTTTGGGCTAAACTTTTTGCATCTTTGTAAGAAATTAGTTACTTTTATCTCTCAGAAATAGTCAAAAATGTTTTACAATTTGAATTAGGGTTTATAGAGAAAAATATTAATTTAATTTTTTTTACCTGTGCGTAGATAATGGGCAATATTTTTCCTTAAAAGTGCCACTAACAACCGTTCTCGAAAAAAAATCACAATTTTGCGAAAATTTTAATTTTCGCTCAAAAAATGCTCGAAAGCGCGTCGGTGCGTATGTTTATTCGGAACGGTCCAAAGTCCGCGATCGCAGGCAGCGTTGGAAAACAACTGACTGCCGGCGCGCTTCTTTGGCCGTACCAGGCCGCCTCAGATTTTGTGCTTGTGCCGGGCCGGCACTGCCGGCGACTCCTGCTGTAACGCCTGGCGCACCGACACTTTTTTGTTTACAAAAAAACATTTTTGAAGTATTAAATAAGCTTTATCTATTTCAATGAAAAATAATTTCATTATAGGTTGGCTATACTTTAAACAGCATAATATTTTGCATATTGGTTATAATACACTGTAAAAAATAATTAAGACAAGTCTACACGCCCCAACACCAAACTGTGTTATTCCAAGTCCACACGAAATCGTGTAAAATTTTAACACAGCATCAGTGTGTTGATTTGTTTTTTATATCGTGTAATAATTTACACGAAGAATAATTAAACTTTAACACATTGTTTGTGAAATTTTTACACAAGTTTAGGTATTAAGTTTAACAATAGATGGTGTTATTGTTTAATATTTTAGCGTGTTAAATTTTACACTAAATTGGGTAGATAAATAAAAATTACGTTTAAAAAAATACTTTTATTAAAAAAAAATATTTTATAATTTCAATTAGACTAAATATTATATTATAATATTTTTATATTAAACAAATTATTAAAAACATTTAAAAAAAAGTAATAAAGGAAACAAGATTATTTTAAAAAAGATAAAATGTCATGTGTTACTGGCAAATTTTTTATTACCCACTATGTTTCCTAAAGTCAAAGTTTAAATTTTATATTAAATATAAAGGGGTAAGAAGAAAAAGGGCAAATTTTACACGATATTTGTTAAAATTTACACAACTTTGTGTAACATAACACGATATTTATTAAATATGAGTGTAAATTAACAAGTGGTTACACATTTTAGTGTTGCTTCCCAATTTAGGAACATTTGTGTAAAAGTATTTACACGATTTTTACACAAAATTTACACAAAAATTTTAACACAAAAAAAAGAGAATTTACACACTGATATTTTTTGCAGTGTATTTTTATGATTTTTCTAGTACTGGCAATAAACATCAAAGACAAATTCTTTTTTTCTTCTTTAACATTAACAGCCGCTTATTGTAAATAAGTAAATTAAGGACGGCATGGCGAATCGATTTTGACATTAACTGTCAAACCAATGACTGTGATATCAATTATCTAAAGTAAAATTCGACCAAATTAAATTTAAGGTATAAAATTAACTTTTTTTATAGAATTTTTGCAAAATAGATAAATGAGCATGTCATGTCATAAGACCTTTTGTCGCACTCGTCCATTACAAAACTCGCTTCTTCGTCCCTCGTTTTATTGTCAAAATGACGTCTTATTACATTAGTTGTTTAATACCTACTATTTTGAGTTCAAAAGTTTTCAAAATTGAATAAAACAAAAATTACTGATAACCAACTACATTTTATATAAAAATAGAAAAATTATCACCATCCGTGTTGTCATTATCATAGGATAGGTACTACCATTTCTTATTGGATAGATTTTAGTTTAGTTTGATTGTATTATCTATTTCAAAAACCATTGTTCTAATAAAAGTTCAATTTAATTGATTATTTATTTTAATCTTTATGATTTAATTACTAATGAAGGTTTTGATTAAATATCCATCAAAACGATTTTTACAGGGCCGTATTTAGAGGTGTGAAGGCCCCTAATTATTTTTCAAATATGTTAAATAATTTTTTTCTTGCAAGTGTTTTAATTATTTATTTATTTAGTCGTATTGCACAAAAATATAGAACATTAATTAATTAAAGCATCTCATGCGAATGGCACCTTGCGAGCTTTTTTCAACGAAAAATCTTTGATGATTTCGTTGAAATCCAGCTACCGCAGTAAATCACTTTCAATGCTAACTTTGATAGGCGGTTTTGTCCCATCGTAGTTCTTAGCCTATATTTTATAATTTTCATTTTTGAAAATGAGCGCTCTCCAGAGCAATTTGACACTATCAAAACCAAGTTCATTCGTAGTTTGGAAATGTAGCTCTGAAATTTTGATTTTCAAGAATTTGATTATAGAACAGCTCCTTATATAGGTTTTGCTACTACTGGGGTCATATCTTTTATTTTTAACCTACCCTCATGGCTATAATTTAGATACAAAAAAATATGTTACACTTTATCTGTATTAAAAAAAATACACTACAATAGATTAGATATTAGATATATATTATATATATATATATAAAATGGGTTTTCAAAATATTTAATAAGTTTTCATCATGACATGGCTATCAATGTTCTCCGAAGATGAGTTAAGGTAGGTAAATATTTTTTGTATTATACGTATCTGAATCTTTCTATGTTCACATAGGGAAATGAGAGGGGATCATAGGTTATTGCAAAACGGAGAACCCACGGACTATGGTAATGAAATGGAAAGATGGGCTAAATTAGCGTTTTGTAAACTTTGGGAAAACGAAAATGGTGTGCCAGGCCTTCAAGAAGGTTTAAATAAAGGCACCGTGTTTGTCAAAGATCCTGAAAATGAATACAAAAAAATAGGTGATTTAAATTTTATATTATTCAGTCCAGATGCAATACTACAAACAGAAAATGGAGAAGTTGTTTTAATTAAGTGTCACGTAGAATCAATAAGATCCTTTATTAATGATGTAGACGACAAAAACAATTATTTTAGTTTTTTGGTGGAACACAGAGACCAAGTATTATCGTACATGGAATTTAAAGACATTAATTACGGAATATTTTATTTGGATGACATTCTGGGGAGTATACTTTTTACAAGAGAAGATGGGGAAAGATTGTTGCAAATACTAAAGAAACTATTAAGAAGGTAGATAATTTATATTTTAAAATTTTTGAATACCATGGTTTTTAAAATTTAATATAATTTTAATTTTTAAAAATTGTTAATGTATAATTAAATAATAATAATAATACTTTATCAAAGTGTAATACAAAAATACTATAAAAATGGTATAAAAAGAACTTATTATAATATAATATACTTGGTATACATTTTTGTTATATCATTTTTTGTAACTTTAACATAATAAAACAGTGTGAAAGAAATAGTTACAAAGTTATTTTAAGCGTATGTAAAGGCCGGCCGTTGGGAAACAAAGAAGCGTTTTTTGAACTTTGGAAAAGCGAAAGGGGTGTACTAGGCCTTCCAATAGGTTTTGACAAAGGCACTGTGTTAGAAGAAGAAGCTAAATATGAAATATCATTTAGGCCAGACGCAATACTTGAAACAGAAGGAGAAAAAGTCGTTTTGGAAATTAAATGTTCCCTAAGTGAAAGAAATGCTTGTATTAATGAAAACAACGAATTGACTGGTTATTATTGGGAGAAACATAAAGATCAATTATTAATGTACATGAAATTTAAAAACATTAAATACGGAATATTGTTTGCCTTTTTTGTAAGTGATATTGAACAAGATAAAAAACCAAGAGTTAAACTTTTTAAAATGGATGATGAGAAAGAACGTTTAGAAGAGTTAGATGACCTATTATTAAGGTATGCTATTTAAATATAATTTTTGTGTCCTTATTTTTTAGGCCTTTTGACTTCTAAAGTTTTCAAAATTAAATATAAGTTTATTATTTTAAAACAGTTTGCACATTTCACTGTGCGAAAAATGAATATAATTGACTTTTGAACTAGTTTTAATCATCAATAATGACCCTTTACATTTTATGTTCTAGGAGTTTGACAAAGGAACTTCCCAGTTCTTTAACAAAGTTTTTAAACTTTATGTACCCACAAAACTAACTTATAATATATAATTAAATATGTATATATATATATTAATAAATAAAATTTGTTAAAATTTAAAATAGTTTTTTATTAGGTATACCTGTATCAATTTTGATAGACAGTAACCATATCAAAAAAATACATTTAGAATATTTTGCCTTATTGTTAACTTAATTAGATAATTACATTGTGTATTTTTTGACATTACAATGTAGGTTCATATTTTTTAGTTGTTTTTTAATTTTCGGATCGTTTGAAAATATAATACAATTTTATTTGGGGTGTTGCATTTTTCCTTCAAAAAGCGTCAAGAATTTTCCTTGGGCGTTTTTTACAATAAAATATTTGTACGGATGGTCAGCTTGGACACGTTTATTCTGAACCAAGGAATAGGCCACAAATTGAACTCCTGAAAAAAAATTAAAAATAATTCTATTCCTGTTTTTCGGTATTAAAAATTACTATTTAAAATAAAGACTATGTGTAGTCTCTATAGGCTGGTAATGCATTTTAAATCTTTGGTTGGTAGCTCTACCAAAAAAAAAATATGGGATGATAAAAAATATTTAAGGAAAAATATTTATTCACAAATTTATCTACAATTTTATTATTTTACCACTAAACAAAGTAACTGTATTTTGCTTCAAGTTAATTGGCTTGTTGATTACATAAAGTACAAAGGAATGGTCAGTTTTGAAGATGGTTCTTTCTATTGGAGGCGGAGGGAACGAAATTGGAATTATAGTAATACCTAAAATAAAATAATAAAATTTTAAATTTAACAGGATTTTTTATTGATTAATAACGCTATGGATGGTTTCACCAGTTTCTTAAAATTTGGGACTTTCTTTAAAGAATGATCTCTATAGAAAGCAATAAGCCAATCAGAACACGGCATTTTTTTACAGCACACTAGGTGAGATGTATTTTATAAAACTCACGTAATAAAAATGAAATATATTTTTATTTACAATGTTAAATATTTATTATACATATTGCATATTTTATATAAATTTTTTTGGGTCGGCAACTTTTCCATAGAATATGGGAACCATTTTTTCGTTGTTTTTTGATACAATACTTAAGAGGAATGGATGGTCTATTACGAAGTTTGGATCCACAACCAAACGTCTCGTTTCATATTCCATAGCTGTTAAAAATTTAATTTATTTAATACTTATTAAATAAAATATTTTTTCTGTTTTTGCCCTTTGTATTTTCAGGATATTACCTACATATACTATAAATAAAATGCATATAAATCCGCTGGAAAAGTAGATCTTCATAGATTAGAATCCATTTTTTGAAATAAAACACATTTTTTTTAAATTCTGTATTTTCTCCTTACAAATTGATCCTACGTATTAAGATGCAAAACAATCTTCGAAAAGCATTTCAAGTTTTTAAATTCTGTATTATCTCATTACAAACTGATCCTTCGTTATTAAGATGCAAAACAATCTTCTAAAAGCATTTCAAGTTTTCCAGAAATTCAATCGATTTTTTCCAATTTTCCTTTGAATAAAATTTCGAATTTTTTTTCTTTTTTCCCGCCCAAATAAAAAATGAGTGGATGATCGGCCATAAAATTTTCGGTAAATACCATACAACAGTTGATCAGGCGGGGTTCTAAAGAAAATTTAAATAACATTATACGGGGCTGTCCACAATGCCATAGTTATGCGGAAAAAAATAAATATTGCAACTTAATCTTAAGACTTCTTTATTACACGTATCCTGCACTGCCATATACAGAGTGTCCAAATTGCCAAACTTTTAAAACACTAAAAAAAGTTAATAAAGGGCTTTTATAGAAAAAAATATATCTTGTTTTTTATTGCTGTAATTTTCTTACTTAGTAGGTAATACTTTACAATTATATTTAATACAAGTTGAACATTTTCCCCTTGAACAATGGCACTCTTTCATCCCCACCAAATTCCATAATGTAATAAAGAAATGGATGATTTGCTTCAAAAACTGCGGAATCTCGTTGTCTTGGCCTTGCAGATTTCACTCTGATTTGCAAACCTTATTAAAATAAGAAAAAATAAGTCACCAAAAAGCGCTATATTATACAGGGTGTTAAAGGTGTTAAAGGATTATTTTTCATAACCAATTTTTAAATTCCTCAAGAGATTCTGGTTAAAAGGGTGATTAAGAACAACCTGTATATGCCAAAAATTTTATGAATCACAGAAAAAGACTATTTTCTGCGCCCCTAAATATCTATTTAAATATAGCATTACACAAAATAAAACTCTGATGGGTTATGCTTGAATATAATTTATTCTAATTTTCAAGTAAGTTTTTGATACAACCGTTGAAAATAATGTTTTGTTTCGCATTTTCCATGAAAAAAAATACAAATGGTCTCTCCACTTTAAATAAAACTTCCAAACTATTTAAGAAACCAGATCTGTTCATGAGATTTATATCTTAAAAAAATTATTAAAAATAATTTCCATTTATTTATAGCAAAAGCATTATATAGCATATAGCATTGCATAGCATAAAAAATTCTACTTGGTATTTAAAATATAAAACATTTTTAACATTATTATAAACAAAATACATAGTAAATTGTAGTCATACGCCTATCTAAAAAAATGTTTTCTAAAATTTACCAAAGTATATGAAATGTTAAAACATTAAACACACAAAATATATATAAATCCCATTTATTTAAAGCCCAATCATTAAATACAGTGTACAGAGTTTTTGACATTTATAAAATAACTTAAAGTTTATAAATTTTACCAAAAAATAATTTATTTATATTATTTTTGGAGGCATCTACCAAGTATACGATAAAAGGATGGTCGGCTTTAAAAATTGGTTGAGGTGGCGGGGGGGCCAAAGCAGAAGTTGCGAAAACTATTATAGCTGAAATTAATTTGTAATAAATAATAATAATAAAAAAATGTTTTTTTAAATTTACCAATGTACGAGGTGTGTTCAGAAAATATCGGGAATTGTTAAATTTCGCGGGTTCGGAGGGTCCGGTTGTCATAAAATTTTCTTTATTATGTTGGTATACATGCCCCCGAAGTGTGATAAAAACTTTAGCTGTTTTCATTGTTTACTTTGTCTGTGGCAGCCGCTAAGGTTAGACGTGTTTTATGAGCTCGGCGATTTTTCGTTCGTTAAAAGAAATGGATCAAAGAATTTGTATCCAATTTTGCTTAAAAAATGAAATAAATTCTGTGAAATGTTAACAAAGGCCTATAGTGAGTCTGCTATAACTAAAACAAGAGTTTACAAGTGGTATAAGAGTTTCCAAGATGGCCGTGAAGACGTTGAAGATGACGAACGCCCCGAACGCACAAGCACATTAACAACCGATAAAAACATGGAAAAAGTGGAAGAAATGGTTATAAACCATCTGAGAAGTCGCTGATGATGTTGGTATATCGATTGGCTCATCCCATGAAATTTTTTGGAATGTTTTGGGTATGAAACGCGTGGCAGCAAAATTTGTTCTAAAATTGTTAAATTTTGAACAAAATTTTTGGCCAAAAACAATACTGTAACGATGCCCCAGCCTCCATATTCGCCAGACATGCCTCTGTCTGACTTTTTCCTATTCCCAAAAATAAAGAGATGACATTAAAAGCGCATCGCTGAAAGAACTAAAGGCTATCCCAAAGATAGAGTTTTAGAAGTGTTTCGAGTATTGGAAGAAGAGCTGGCACATGTGCATAATATCCAATTATCCAACTATTTTGAAGGCGACAACATTAATGTAGACGAATAAATAAATATTTGTTTCAAAAAACGAAAATTTCCGATATTTTCTGAACACACCTCGTATATGAAATGTTAAAACATTAAACACACAAAATATATTTAAATCCCATTTATTTAAAGCCCAATCATTATATACAGTGTACAGAGTTTTTGACATTTATAAAATAACTTAAAGTTTATAAATTTTACCAAAAAATAAGTAATTTATATTATTTTTGGGGGCATCTACCAAGTAAACGAAAAAAGGATGGTCAGTTTTAAAAATTGGGGGAGGTGGTGGGGCCGAGGGTGCGAAATATATTATATCTGAAATTAATTTTCAATCATTACCCAATTTTGCAATAAATATTAATCAATTAATTAAATGAGAGATAATAAGAGGTACAATATTTTGAATAAAAACAAGATAAATGTGCAGTGAGCCATGTAAAAAAAGATTTTAAATAAAATTAAATTTAAAATATATAGATTTATATTAAACTTAATATTCGGATTTTGACATTATAAAAACATTTTATATTTTCGCAATTTTTGCAACAAACATAGGGCTGGTTTTTTCGATATTTTTTCGATTAAAAACACAGTAAAAGGTTTGTTCACTTTAAAAACTACAGGACGTGGACTTGTAAACAGGCGCAGCTCCAAAATTACAAAAATAAGTTATAACATAAAAATAAACTACTACTGCATAACTCAACAATTATATTATTTTAGTATTTTTGGAAGAGATTAAAAAATATCCTACTAATACAATATATTTATTAAACAACAACTATTTTACAATTTTGAAATTTTCCCCGAAAAAAGTATGTTATTTCCACCCTGCACTAATTTCAAAACAAACGCATGGTCGGCCCTAAATAACGGAAATATCCGAGCGGAGATAAAACCAAATTCCATTTCTAAAAAAACAAAACAAATTTAGATATTTTTTTAAGTTTATCGATCAAATATTTTCGATTATCAATCAAATATTTTCTCTCTAAAATACATTTGTAAAATATAAAAATTTTACGATAAAATTTAAATAAATTGGGTACTTTATTTTTTGGAGACCCTGTATATCAAATTTTGTACAAGACCATTTTTATTTTTTTAGATATTTTTTATATAAATCGTATTTATTAATATTAAAAACTATATAGCGAAAAATGTATCAAAATTGAAGAAAAATCTTAATTATAAAAACCCACAGCACAAGTAAGCAATAGAAAATCAATAAGTATTGTCAAAACAATTTATTTAAATAAAAAATATTTCACAAATTTAAAATACGGCCCGAAAAAATTATGTTAATTCCACCCTGTATTAATTTCACAATAAACGGATGATCTGCTTGAAAAAGTGGATCGATTCCAATAGAGTCTAATATTATTTTTATTTCTAAAAGAAAAAAAAACAAGAATTAAAACTATAATAATTATAAATAAATAATATATAGTATAACATATAAAATTGGCAACGCTGTATTTTTGATGTGCTTGATATACTTACTCCCAGATAATATTGTTTAAGCCCCAATATTTTTTGACAAAAAAGTTCACATAAATAAAAAAAATACAAAGAAAATCTAAAAAGTTTTTTATTCACACTAAAACCCTTACAAATCGGAAAATTTTCCGGAAAAATGATATTTTCTTTGTTTTGAACTAAATGGTAAATAAAAACATGATTGGCCTTGAATACCGGCTGAGGAATAAAGGCAGATAGGGCGATAAAGGTCATACCTAAAAAATGCACAAAAAGTTATATTTGTAAATTTAATTACGTTATAAGAATAATTTACAAAGAAATATTATATATTATTTTACAATTGTAAAATTTTTCCTGTGAAAAGAATGTTTTTGTCATTCGAAATTAAATATATTCCAAAGGAATGATCGGCTTTAAAAACGATTTGAGGAATTGGTCTTGTAGGTAAAGATAAAACAACCATATTCACCATAGCTAAAAATAATATTTTTATAGTAATTATTATCGAGTATATGAGTACCTAAGCGATGCTATGAAAATAGCTACCCAGAAAAACTGATTTCAATTTTGACTGAAAGTATAATACTTCTTATAAGAAATAAAGGGAAGTAAAACCTTATTTATAAGCTAATATATTTTATTTAAAAGTATAAAATATATATTTTAAGTATAATATAAGTATAATAATCGATATTTTAGTTTTTAGTTTCAAAAATTCTTCCTGCGAAAAGGATGTTTTGGCCGCTTTCTGATTTTTCCACCAAAAGCAGTGAAAAAGGACGATCTACTCGAAAAGTTGGTATTTGTTGTATAAGGAAGCTCTCGGTAAATATAATTGCTGTTAAATAAACAAAAATTAAGATTTTGTTACAAATCATATTGTTTCAAATAAAATATCTGAGATTTATTCAAATTAAATATTTTAATGTATCATGGGTTGCATATCATCTGCATGGTTTAAAAATGTATAGTTTTACATTTTCAACATATTTGCTTTTGGTCAAAACTTCCTGTATTTAGTTCCTATAAATATATAGTAACACAAATATATTGTATTTATATTTTTTTATAGATATTTTCGAGGTAAAACGATTAATTTTTCATTCAGAAAACCTTTTAGATAGACAAAATGTTAATAAACAAAATATAAAGAAGGTTCTACACATTACCAATCAAACAAAATGCCTTTAAAAATTTATTATTAAAAATGCAAATAAAAATACTTAAAATTGGGAGACGCGTCCTTTAAAAAGGATATTTTTATTATCCTGAAGCAAATAAAATATAACAGGATGATCAGCCTTAAAAACAGGTCCTTCTACAAGTCTGACTGTGGAAGATTTTGTTACAACTATAATGCCTAAAAAATTTTAACAATATTGAGGAAATTTTAAATAACAATCTGCCACAAAAATTATAAACAAACTATCCAGAAGAAAACCAAAACCGAAAAAAATATTAATACCAGAACCACATAATATTCTACTATAGTACAGATTAAGAACAGTATAAATCCAAAATTTTCTAAAATTAATATAGAAGTTTAAAATGCATTTTTAAGAGAAGATATAAAACATGATTATTAAATTTTATAAAGAAGTTAAAATATTCTCACAAAAATTATTTTAAACCATAAAACTGATTTTATAATAGTATATTCTGTAACAAGTTTGGAATACAGCATATTCCGCTCGAGTGAAGAGTTTGTCACACGAGCCGAAGGCGAGTTTGACGGTTTCACGAGAGGGGAATATGCAATTCCAAACGTGTTTCAGACTATACTTTTTCTACGTTTCCAAAAAATACCATAGACAAATAATTTAATTGGAAGAAAGTGAGGTTGGATCAGTCTAAAATTTGTTAGATATTAAAAACAGAGATGTCGCCACGAGTGTATATGTATATATGTATGTGTAGATGATAGAATATTTCATTCTGTAACACTTTACGGAATATATGTCATCCCATAGATAAAAGTGATATTAGAAGGGTCAAATTCCGTAATAGGAGTAGAAAAAATATTTTCTCAAAATTTTAACTCTTGGACTTGTACTGTTTTTAATCTCACCGATTTAATGAATCTGTATCTGTATGTTATAAATTATTGTTTTTTTATCAATCAGGTGGGAAAATAACTTTGAAAACATTCCAAACCCCAGCAAAAAGTGGAATTAAATTAAAAAAGGTTTAACATCATAAAATAACTTTTTATTAAAAAAAAATGTATATAAAATAACTGTTTTACAATTTGGATATGCGCCCAGAAAAAAGTATGTTATTACCACCCTGTACGAGTTTTACAATAAACGGATGCTCTGCCATAAATACTGGGTCAATCGTTAAGGACATTGCAACTATTTGCAATTCTGGAAAACGAAAAATTAATTGATTAATTATAGTCGTTTTTAATGTTTAAAAAAAATAATAAAGTAGGAAGAAAATTAAAGTAAAAACGTCAACCATACTCTAAGGTACCTTGCGACATCTGTTATGCAGTAGATGTACTATTTTTTAAGCCAAGTATAAAAAGAACAAACTGTAAAACAATTTCTTAATGTTTTTGTTAATTTACTGTTTAATCTTTAGTTGTATTCAAATGGTGATAATTAAATTTTGATAATTGAAGGTCAAAGAGTCAATAAAAAAGTGATAAAATTATTTACTGTTTTTAACATTTATATTTATTATTATTAAAAACAATGTTACAAAATTATTAATATCTATCTTTGTAAAGAGATTAAAAAAATATTAAAATATTAAATAATAAAAAATATATATAAAATTTAAAACTGCCAAACGTATTTGGCAATAAAAAAATATATTTATTCTCATTAGTCGTCATAAAAAATGCATTAAAAGTTAACATGTACATTTAATAAAAAAAAATTAAAATTCATCATGAGATATTTCGGTTGATTTCGGTGGTTCGGTAATTTTTCCATGAAACAACAAATGAGCAACTTTTGGCTCGTCTTCTGCCAAATACTCGTACTTAACGATATTCACGATAAACGGGTGTTCCGCAAGGAACTCTTCGCCCAACAATGCACGCCGCATTCGTATCAAAACACCTAGAGGGATACAAACAGTCCTTTTACTTTTTAGTTGAAAAGGGCAGATCAACAAAATTGTAGCGATTTATTTTAAACCCTGTGTATATTTTGAGGAGTATAAATATTTTGTCTTGTGTTTGGTGGTATATTTTTGGACACCCTGTATATTGAAGTATTTTTTGTGTTAGATTTTTAGATGTTGAGTGTTTATTTTGTAATATGTCGTAACTAGTACGTAGAAAAGGGGTTGGTAATATGGAACGTCATTTTATGACTAAGGTTGCTATGGTCCATCCATAGCCTATGACAGTGACAGTTTTGTTGAATCATCCCATACTTGGACATGTCATATACAGCTTTCAAAAGCTATCAAATTGTTTTTTGTAAATTAATGTGTTAATTTTGAGGTGTCATCTTACTTTTAAAAATGTCTCCGACTGATGTTTCCCTTTGTACTTTACTTCTTGTGACGTTTAAAACACTTGCCACGTAATACTGTGACCGTCCATCCTGGATTAAATTAATGGCTCTGGCAACATCAGTCGGAGACATATCCATTTTTTAAAGTAAGAAGACACCTCAAAATTTAAACATTAATTTGCAAAAAACAATTTTATAGCTTTTGAAAGCCGTGTATGACATGTCCAAGTATGGGATGATTCAACAAAACTGTCACTGTCATTCTCCATAGCCTATGGATGGACCATAGCAACCTTAGTTCTTCATACAGAAAAATATTGGAAATTGCAATGTTTTTTAAAAAAATCCATATTTGCCACAAAAATAAATATATCGAGGTGAACCAAAAACAAAACTGTTAAGAATAGATGTGACTTGATAAATAAAAGTTAATTTAGAACAATATACGGTTTTGCCACTCTACAGAGTGTTCTAAACATATGGTAAAAAACATCTTTTTGTTTAAACCTGTATATTATAACCGTACGTCTATTTTTTAGTATTTTTTTAAAATGTGAGCGATTGTCCATTAATTTATCTACAATATTCTTTAATATTCGTTAAAATCCGACATCAAATAAAAAAGTTATTTGCGATTGAAATTCATCGAAAATTTGTGTGGATCGATTATTTTGCCTGTGAGTGTATAAATATAAAAATCATGTTCCATATTACCTACCACATTTTCTTGACCCCATTTTGGTAAATTTAAGGGCCATACATATTTAACAGTGTTGTAGTTAATAAATTTAATACTTACTACATAAAAGCACTATAGGTATATACACAACAAAAACTAAATAAACTAAAACGTGGAAAAAAACGAAAAGCGTGAAAAATAAATAAAACAGGAATATGGAAAAACCAGAAAGGACAGAGCAGCAAAAACAGAAAAAAGCGTGCGAAAAAGCGTAAACAAATAGGTGAAGGTTAAGGCTCCTTCACACGACGCAAGTTTTCAACCAAGAGATTTGGATCGTGTGAAGCGGCCTTTTTGTTGGCAAAAAGAAGGCGACTTACCGGTAGCTGCCGCAGCTTCGGAGCCTTCCTCGTTGACCTCGATGAAGGCCTTTTGGATGACCTTGCTGACTTTCAACGGTTCATTTCCGGTGATCATTTTGTCGAAGTTTGCGTTGTCGGAAAACATCACTCCTAGACCCATCTGGGAAGAAATAGTTTAAGTCTTGCTTTAAGCTGCAATAAGTTTTACAACTTACGTTTTCTAAATGTTGGTTCAAGTCTATGGTTGTTTCGATTTTGAACTTGGGCAGGAAGACCTCAACGTCGGTTGGGTACATACCCTCGGTGACCTTGGTGATGTCGGTGGCGGCCAATTTTTGTTCTAACCCTTTGATGCCGTCCTTTTTGTTGGGAAGCACTACTATCATGCTGAGGTCGCGGTTTTTGTAGGGCAGCTCCAAAACTTGAGCGTCGAGGTCACGGTCGAATTTGTATTTGTACTCGCCCTTGCGGAACATCATGTCGACGTCGGATTTCACGGTTTCGCTCGTGTAAAACGGCATCTTGCGCGTGTTTGCCTTGTCGAATTTCGACAGCCAGTCGCCTGCGGTTAGAAAATGACGTGTTTGTTGGTTTGTTTTCAAGATACCAGACTTGTAGGTAATTTTTGAACATTTCAAAAAATGGTAGGACAAATTCGCACAGTGGTTCAACATTAAAAAAATTGAGGGAAAAATTCGCACAGTAGTTCAAAATTAAAAAAATTGGAGGAAAAATTCGCACAGTAGCATGAATATAAAAATTGGTAGGATAAATTTACGAAGTTAACAAACATTTCAAAATTTCGATATTTTCGAAATTTAAGAAAAAAATAAACGTTTTTAATTTTTTTTATATTTTCGTTGATTTGTCGAATTTGGACAGACAATTGCCTGGAAATGATGGGACAAATTCGCACAGGGGTTTTATTTAAAAAATGGTAGGACAAATGCGCACAGTAGTTCAAAATTAAAAAAATGAGGATAAAATTCGCACAGTAGTGTAGCATCGGAATTTTCCCAGGCTCTGTGAGAATGTTTAGATTTAAAGACTTTTATTTATGTAGGTTAAAATTAGGCGTCAAGTGTTTAAGTTCAATACGTTGTTTTCAAACGACCGCAAGGGTCTAGGACTGATAATATGTGTGTGAAAGTGTAGATAACGTAAAAGACTAAAATAGATGCGTGGGAATATGAAGTAACCCCAAAGATTTGTAATAGTACCTAAGTCAGATTTAACGCGACCGTCGTTGTATTAAGACGTATTATATTTACTTTTAGTTTCATTTGTTGTTTAACTTTATATTTTTAATAAACGACTATTTTTAATTTAAAGTTTACGGACTTCTTATTCTTAAAATAATCTAGCAACTAAATCCCTACAGTAGTAAAAATTTTCGAAACTTCTAAAAGGTTTTCGAAATCATTAAAATTTTCGTTGCTATGTCATTTAAAAAATGGTAAGACAAATTTGTAGTGTTTCAAAATTAAAAAATTGTAGGAAAAAGTGTACAGTAGTGTAAATATCAACACTTGTAGGACAAATTTAAGAAATTTCCAAATATTTCAAAATTTTCGGAAAACGTTTTCGAAATTTTTTATATTTTTGTTGCTTTTTCGAATTTTGTCAGCCAATCGTCTGGAAATGATGGGACAAATTCGCACAGGGGTTAATTTAAAAAATGGTAGGACAAATTCGTACAGTGGTTCAAAATTCAAAAATTGAGGGACAAATTCGCACAGTAGTATAAAAAATAGTAACACACATTTACAAAATTACCTAATATTTCAAAATATTGGAAATTTTTATAACGTTTTCTAAATCTTCAAAAGTTTCGTTGCTATGTCATTTAAAAAATGGTAGGACAAATTTGTAGTGTCTCAACATTACAAAATTGTAGGAAAAATTGCACAGTAGTGTAAATATCAACAATTGTAGGGCAAATTTTTCAAAATTTTCGGAATTTATTTTTAATATTTTCGTTGCTTTGTCGAATTTTGACAGCCTGGAAATGATGAGACAAATTCGCACAAGGGTACAATTTTAAAAAATGGTGGGACAAATTTAAAATATGGGGGGACAAATTCGAACAGTGGGACAAATTTAAAAAATGATAGTACAAATTCGCACAGTGGGACAAATTTTAAAAAATGGGAGGGCAAACTCGCACAATGGGACAAATTTAAAAAATGGTAGGACAAATTTGCACAGTGATTCAAAATTAAAAAATTGAGGGACAAATTCGCACAATAATATAAAAAATAGTAGGACACATTTACAAAATTAACTAATGTTTCAAATGTTGGAATTTTTTTAAATTTAAAACGTTTTCTAAATCTTCTAAAGTTTCGTTTGTTTGTCGAATTTTGACAGCCATTCGCTTTGAAATGGTAGGACAAACTCGCACAGTGGTTCAAAATTTAAAAAATGTGGGAAAAATTCGCACAGTAGTATAAATACAAAAAATAGCAGGACAAATTTACAAAGTTAACAAATATTTCAAAATGTTTGATTTAGATTTAGATTTAGAAATTTGTAACGTTTTAGAAATCTTCAAAATAATTAATATTTTCGTTGCTTTGTAAATATAATATAAATATCTTAAAATTTTCATAATTATTAAAAAAAACTAAAAATTTAAAACGATTTCAAAATTTTTAAAAATTTTAATATTTACGTTGCTTTGTCTAATATTGACAGCCAAATTTTTTAAAATATTTAAAAAACTTTCTAAATTTTCATAATTAAAAAAAAAAAATTTAAAACATTTTTGAATTTCTAAAAATTTTAAAAATTGTTAAAATATTTAAAAAAAAAACCTTCTAAATTTTCATAATTTAAAAAAAATTAAATATTTAAAACGGTTTCGAAATTATCAAAATGTTCAATATTTTCGTTGCTTTTTCTAATTTTGACAGCCAAAATTTTTATAATATCCAAAATTCAAAATTAAAAAAAAAATAGAAGGAAAAATTCGCACAGTAGTATAAATATAAAAAATGGCAGAACAAATTAACAAAATTTACAAATATTTCAAAATAATTCTAATTTTCGGAATTTTAAAAAATTTTCAATAATTTTGTTGCTTTGTCGAATTTTAATAGCCAATCGCCTGAAAATGGTAGGACAAATTCGCACAGTAGTTCAAAATTAAATAATTGTAGAAAAAAATCGCATAGTAGTAAATATAAAAAATAGTAGGACAAATTTACGAAATTTCTAAATATTGAATTTTTTTTTAAATATTTAAATTTTCTAAATTTTAAGCTCAAAAACGCTTCAAAGTTTAAAAAATAAAATTGACAGAACTAAAACTAAACAAAAACTCTCACCTTTAAAGTAGATGGCATTAACAAGCACCAAACGAGTCATACCATCCAAACTATCAGGAGTTATCAAATCCTTAATCTTATTCTTGGTCTTGTCCTCGACCCAACTGTTAATTGTCTGGGCGGCTGCCACGTTTTTAGCAAAATCAACTTGCTGAACCTCCGATTTGAAATCTTCCTTGGCAGTTTTACCGAACTCCTCTTGCAGAGCCAAACCAGACTTGAGGAAAACTTTGTTGGCCATAAGTAGGGTTACATTCTCAACACTGTTCAGACGATCCATAATTTTGCTGTAGCCATTAGCTGCTAGTTTATTATCGGGGACCCCCAAAGTGGAAGCAAAGGCGGCCTTTGTGTCCCCATTGGCCCCCTGGTAAGCCATGCTGAGAACAGCATGGGCGCTAATAGGCGAAAAGAAAACATTCCCTTCCTGCTTAGCTAACTCTTTATACAGATTATTCGTAAACTTTCCGTTGGCTTGTATAACAGCCAATTCAGAACCTTCCAAAGGGGCCATTTTAGCGGTACCAATGCACACGGCTATAATAATACCTAAAGCAGCTGAAAACAACAAAAAACGAACCATTACAACCAAATGCTTAAGTTTTATAGCAATTTTTTACCGTATAACCTCAAAATCTTTAACTGGGCGTTTTCACCTCTAAATATACGAACGAAAAGAAGCAAGTTGGACGGCATAAACACTATTTCGTGGGAATCAATATATTCCCGTTAAAAAACGACCTTCAAACATTTTAATGCTTTTAACCTAACTATCAAAACAAAAACAAGACAGTGTTGCCTTGCTTCGATAAAATGTCAAATTACACTGTTAATTAAACGTTTTTATTCGATATAATGTTGTATTGTAACTTTATTTAACTAAATAATATTATAAAAATCATATTTATATGCATAAATCGTTTAATGAAGGTTTAAAAAGGACTTGAAACTAGTTGGGTTGTGAAATTTGACAACACGGTACGCAAAATATTTGCTGAAATTTCCAGTGAGTGAATCATTCCTAAATTAAAATTTTAATGGAATTTTAAAAATATCCAACAAGAAAAATAAAAAAATTACTGTGATTATCTAAAAAAAATATTACCTATAATTTATACAATTTGCCTGCGCTTCTTTTTCTACGACAAATATTATAAAAAACATAATTAATTTAAATTTTTGTACGGAGTGACATCTATACAAAAATAGACAAACAAATTGGCGTTGGGAATCTGTTTTAGCGGCTTTTTAAATGTCAGTTTTGATTTGTCAAATTTATCTTTAAAAATCGAAGTATTTTTACTTCTTTATCGGTAAATTCTAGTTTACTGCCGGCGAAATGAAAAGGTCAGTAGTTAATTGTTTTTAGTATTAAGATACCTAATAAAATAATGTTTTAAGACCATTTATTAGAATAACAATTGACTGGTGAGACTACAAAACAAAAATGGAAAACGAATATACAAATTTACCATGATAAACAATAAAAATTAGCAAAATCTTGTTTTTAAACCGGTTTAATTGATCCACTTTAGTATAATAGGTATGTAAATGATGTTTACTATATATTGCACGGAATAAAAATTTTCCAGTTTAACTTACCCAACATTTTCGCGCCTGTATCACTTGTTCTCTTAAAACCAGAAAATCGACTGACTGAAATTTATAATCGAAATCTTTTTATGCAAGTTTATTATTGCTTATCGTATTATTGGTCAGTACTGATGGTGATAGGAAGGGGGATTTTAGATGTTCTTGGTAATGAGTATTAAATATTATTTTATTGTACAAAACTCTCTGTACCTACCTAAATTGTTTCCAAAAACTACATTAAAATTTTAAATATGAATTGCTAGAAAATTGTTTTATTATACCTACATGGGTTTTAACTTAAAATGGACAATGTAATGAAGATTGTTGATCTCATCAAGATGTTTTTACATAAACCTTTATATCTCAGTTATTTTTGGTCGGATTTTAAAAAATTAATGTTTTTTGGAATTGTCACTTTAATAACTACATTTTTTTGCTAAACATTTTTAACAAAACCATCAACCAAGAAAGATAGATAGAGATAAAAACTTAAGAAGGTCGATAATTTAAAAACAAAAGCTATAATGATAAATATTTATATGAAAAAAGTGTGAGCCTCAATGAAATTTACAGCCTCTTTTACGTTTACAAAAAATCAAAAGTCAATAACTTGAATAAATTACATATATTTATATATATATATATATTTAGAATTTTCTGGATTTTTATATCTCAATGTTTTAATTAAATAGGTACCTATTACATAATATTTTTTTGATACAAAATTATTTACTTATCGGGATTTGCATAATTTAAGATGTTATAATTAGACCAGGGTCGATAATTTTTGAAACCAAAAAAAATAACAGTAGGATGAAACCCATTGGAAAAGGAGAAGAATATAATAAAAATGAAAGGAAAAATAAATTACGGGCGATCTGACTTCGGGAAGTGGGAGGGGGGGGTGTTTTAAGGGTAAAAAATGGTTTATCTCGATTTCCGGAAAAAAGATAAATAGCAAAGTTGTAGGTAATAAAAGGATCTACAACTTTTGTAATTACAATTTTTTTACATAACCTCAAAATTTATGTGAAAAATTCAAAAAACAAAGTTTTTGGTTTTTTATTTTTTTCCACGAAATTTGGTGAAAACTTACCCTTTTATGTCCCAAATACACTGTAATTTATTTGATTTGAAATTTTTATTATTTCGCCTTATTTTGACTTAATATCAAAAAAGCACCCTAATTTTCAATCGAAAATTCTCGCGTCAAAATATCAGCTTTTTTCAAAAAGTCGGTGTGCTTTTTGTTCGTTGAAATCTCTACTTTCTGATGGTGTAAAAAAAATATACATTACTATGGTAAATGTTCTCAAAAAATGCAAAAAATATTATAATGAATAACGAAAAAAACTCGAATTCGAAAATTAAAAGATAAAAATAAAAAACCAAAAACTTGTTTTTTTGAATTTTTCACATAAATTTTGAGGTTATGTGAAAAAATTGTAAATACAAAAGTTGTAGATCTTTTTATTACCTACAACTTTGACATTTAACTTTTTTCCATAGGACTTGTAGTTTTGCCGGAAATCGAGGTAAACCATTTTTTACCCTTAAAACCCCCCCCTCCCACTTCCCGAACTCAGATCGCCCGTAATTTATTTTTCCTTTAATTTTTATTATATTCCCCTCCTTTTCCAATGGGTTTCATCCTACTGTTATTTTTTTTCTCTTTTTACCATTTTTAAAGGCTTCTGCACTGGTCTAAATATAATTTTGATTTATTTATTCATCTAATATAATATTTTAATAATTATTTTGATTACCCAATAATGATGACTTTTCATACAGATATTTATGTATACTTATTTATCTTCAGTACCTATTTTAACAATTTTATTATTCATTTATTAGAAATTATATAGGAATTTTATGAATATCATGTGCACAGTTTTTAAACAATTAATATAAAAAAAATTATACCTAATGCGTTTTACGAAAAAAATGTCATGCTTATTTAAAAAAAATTTATTATTCATTTATTAGAAATTATAGGTATAGGAATTTTATGAATATCATGTGCACAGTTTTTAAACAATTAATATAAAAAAAATTATAATGCGTTTTACGAAAAAAAATGTCCTGCTTATTAAAAAAAATAAAAAATAATGTTTTTTTCTATTTTAACTATAGTTATACTTAGTATACTTAGTAGGTATACTTTAAGATACTTATTTGTTTTTCATACGATTTCTCGTTTTCACATTCTTGAAAATTGAATGGAATTTCTTCAATGGAAAAAATTTAAGACTTATTTACATTCCGTGAACAACCTATTTTGTCAGTGAATTTTTTATTGTTATTTTAATAATGTTGTTACATTCGGTTTTTCCCAATGCCAATTTTATAGTTGCATGAATACACAACAGTAATGTTTATTTATTTGGATGTAACAGTAAAAAACTTGACTCACTATTTACCTACTATTTCCATTGTAAAAATCTTTTGTTTTAATATTTATAAAAAATCCCGGTATTATTATTTTTATTATTAAGGTGTTTTTCTCAGTTGTGTCATTTTATACCAAATCGTGTTAATCGATAATTTTTTTCTTTGCCAAAAAGCTATGTAAATTACCTACTCACACGTTTTTTATTAAACAAAAAAATTACTTGATTTTATGAACTCTTACATAACCTTGTAATTAATACAGATATGTAAATTATTTTAAACAAATACAAATCCTTTTAAGTTTTGTTTACATAAATACAATTAACAAAGATAAATTAAAACATTTTAAGCCATGTTTATTTATATTATAGAAAAAATTAAAAACAACTTTTGAAGCTCTGAACTCTCTTGATAAAAAATTATTAGCGGCAAGAAACAATATTTTAGCATTAAAGAGTACAATTAATTCTAAGAATGTTTTTTAAACCTTCCAGTGAGAATATTCTTAGGATCATGCTATATTTCTTCTAAAGAACATGCTTAAAAGAAATATAGCATAATCCTAAGAATATTTTCACTGGCAGGTTCTTAGAAGGTGCAAAGTTTAGTGCTAAAAATTAATCCACTCTAAACATATGCTTAGAATGTTGAGAAAGTAATTGCTATAAAAAATTCATTTAGGAATATTCCAGGAAATTCTGTTAAGCATATTTAGTTCAGTAAGGTACCTATATAATGATAAAATATACCATAATCTACGTATAAAGGTACCTATACTTAGGATTAAATACTAAGTAAAAAAACACAACCAAAATATATTTTGTTATAGTTATTTGTCAAATTAAAACAATATTCGATAACAAAAATACTTTTACTATATATATATAGGTATTACTATATATATATAGGTATCTAAATTATCCCCGGCTTTTACATGAAATCTTCTATCCAACTTAAATACAATGAAAAATGTTTTTTTATGAAGAACTATTTGGTTTTTTTTTAAGAATTATTTTATAAGGAAATATTTTGTTTTTTTATATTTTATTTTATGTTAAAAATAAATATTTATTAATTTGTATACTGATTTTTTATTTCTAAATTAACATTTTTATGTATACATGTATATACATGTATATTTAATAATCCTAACTATCTTCAACTTCCATCTAATATGACTTATCCCACAAAATTTTCCAATTTTACTTTTTATGAAATAATGTCATAGGTACAACTTATGGTTTAGAGGTCAAATTGTTTATTTAATATTTTTAAATAAATATAAATTAATATATCGCAAAATTTTTTAAGGGGACGACAAATACATTTCACTGTCATATTATGACAGTGAGGCGTATTTGTCGTCTCCTGAAGAATTTTACGAATGTAGTCTACATTATGTAGAATACAACATATTAGAACGTGGGTATCTGACATATTTGAAAATATTCTTAAAAGCTTCCTAGGAGCTCCATAAGAAACCTTCTAAGAACATTCCAAAAACGTATTCTTAAAATGTTCCTATAGGAAAAAAGCATCCTATAGGATGCTTTTTAGGAAGGTTTAAAGAAGCTTCTAAGAATCTAATTGCATCATTAAAAGGGTATCTATTGAATGTTTTAAAAGTCCCTAAGAACATTCTTAGCAATAAGGGAAGGTTCTAAGAATATTCCATTATTCCGGGTCATATCTTCTTAGAAGATTCTTAGAATCAAATTTTGCTATCAGGGTACAACTTGTAACAGCGCATTAAGGTGCAAATAGCTTTAAGGTGTAATTTTAAAAGAGGTACCTACAGCAATAATAAAATCTAACTTGGGATGTATGTATGTATGTACGAGTAATTAAGAGTTGAAAACAATAATTACAATTACTTATATGTATATTTATTTCTTAGTCATTTTACAGAGGCGTGGTTTTTTAAATTTCGGTACACGGATAAAAATGTTTTCTAAATGTATTCTTAAAAAAATTCACTTGATTTAAGTATAATTTGCTTAGGCTACGAATGCATTAAATTTCTTTTAAATATTAACCTATCCAAAAATTAAAAAATTTTATTTCTTAGCTTAAAAGTAAAATAATTGTTTTAAATATTGTCTATTTTTTAAGAGTGGATTATTCTATCTATTTTTCTCTATCAGTCTTGGAAAAAAAGATATCCTAACCTTTATTTAAAGTCGAGCAAAAGTTAAAAAAAGAATAGACAATATTTGAAACAATTATTGCTTAACTTACATAAAGATGCCTTATATTTAATCCAAAAGTAAATATTGTATCGCCAAGAATTATAACATTTGTATCAAAAAATACTTATTCTTTAATTAAGCATGGTGTATATTTTATTTGAGGGTGCTTGCATTCAACTCCCTATATCCTTCAAATAAGTATTAATTAAATTTACAAAAGGGACATTTATTATTTTTTTAATTTTCTTATACACTTAAAGTTATAATTATATCCTAGAAAACAACGTAAATCGACTATATGTCATCTCGTACGTCTAGCACTTGGCCAGTGCATCTTTCCGTTAATTAACTTAGATTAAGTTAAAAAGCCACGTAATTCCACCTACTACAAAGGCCGACACATCTCCCTCTATTAATAATATCCACTCATTTGTCTGGCAAGTGCCTTTCAAGATGCATCTGGACCATTTACCTAACAACAACATGCTTCTGATTGTGCTGGGAACGTTGCTGCAGTTTTTCGGTGCTTTTTGTGAAAATCAAATGACGTCAAACTATTTTTGTGCCGACATGAACCCGCAACCGCACATCATCATCGACCAGGTAGATATGCATTTTTGCTGAGGTGCTCCTCAAGGTTCCGAACTGGGGGCACCGCGTATTGAAATTGTCATTAACGATTCGTGAGTTTTTCGCCAATAAAAACCGGTTGAATTTTATCAATACTTATAATAATATCTCTCTTTAAATAACTAGTTGTACAAGGTAATCTGACAAATCCTGTAATTACGCCTAATTAAGTTAAAAATCGTTAATTAACATGGCCTATTTACATATTACGTACCACTCTACCTACTGGAGATAATTAAATGAACTTTATTGAAGGGTTATTCAACCAGACATTGTTATGTGTTTCTTTTATGTTGCTATTATTATGTTTGTGCATTACTTATACTATAGTATACTTAATTGACTGTATGCGGGTGTGGGCAAAGGCGCCAGTCAACAAAAGAAATAATCTTCTTTTTTTAGCTAATGGGCATGTGGTATGGCATAGAAATATACAATCATTTAGAGGAACGACACTACAATGAATATAAACCATCATGTCCCATAATTCACTTGTCGGAGGATAAAACTCAGACGACCACTTACAATCCTTTGCATAGAGATTATAACTATGGGTATAACTACGGGGAAGGTCATGGGTATAACCACCACACCCAACAAGGAAGAAACCCTGAGAATTATAACACGTATCAGAGAACCCGTGAAGAGCAAATGGAGTTCGATAGAAACACTACATATCCGAATTATAGGAGATATGGACATAATGATTACATGAGAAGGTACAATTGAATTTTAAAGTGTGACAATTTAATTTTCTTTAATGACTCAGAAATTGCATTTTCTTTAAAGTGATGTGTCGCAAAGTACATTTACGGAAAATGGAACCCTATAAGTACAGTTACGGAAAATAGCAATGCCAATTTAATGGACATTACTATTTTCCGTAACTGTACTATGGGGTTCCATTTAAAACAGGTTATGTTCTTTTTTTTAGATTAGAATATGATTTGAGACGTTTAAGATTATATTGGGATGAGAATGGAGTGAGCACAGAATATCATTTAAGATACAACACCACCAGGGCCGGATTCTGGATAAGCGAGGGGCCTCAAAATGGTATAAATTATAAAAATTACTTACACAGGAATATTTTTTCACTGTCACAATACTTACTTATGAATTTACTAAATATTAATCTTATCTGTGATAAGAAATACATATGATGTGGGTACGTATTGATTAAAAAAACATTTTTAACTGTTTATTTTAGGTTCGGCTCTGGAGCCCCAGTTTAGCCACTTCGCAGGCACAATTCAAGTCTTAAAAGCCGTAGGTAGTCACCTGTTGCTGACTTTTTGCCACCAGTTGCCGGACAGGCAGCTGTACTCGATTCTATTGGCCAGGGAAAACAAATTGTCGCACATAGAAACTTTTGGGGTGCACAGTCTGTTGCACAGAAGGGGGCTGACTGCCACTGCGGTGAAAAAAGTTTGCAGTGGGTCCGAAAATTTTTCGGCCAAAAGTGGTTTGTTTGTTTTATTTTTTTCGTTACTTATTTTGGGCGGTTTTTAAATGATTTTGTAACGCGATTGTAAATATATATGAAAAATAAGATATTTACTGATTATTGTATTTATAAATTTTACAATAAATTTTTTATTAATTAGGAGATCTTTTTTTCACAATTTATCTTAATCATGGTAAGTGTCTAGTAGGTAATAACCATAATTAGTTAATTTTAACATCCTGTAGCTTACACTATTTCACATAATATGAGTCATTTTTTATTGGGCCATTTAAATCGTTTTATCTTGTTTCCTATTGGTCAGACAAAAAAGTTTTAAGATATAAAATGGTGGATTTAAATTATATGCTAGCATAGACATATTATTACGTCCACATATAATACGAATTGTCAACTGCATCTATTTTGCAAAAATTCTATAAAAAAATTAATTGTATACCTTAAATTTAGTTTGGTCTAATTTTACTTTAGGTAGTTGGTATCACAGTCATTGGTTTGACAGTTAATGTCAAAATCGATTCGCCATGCCGTCTTTAATTTACTTATTTCCAATAAGCGGCTGTTAATGTTAAAGAAGAAAAAAAGGATTTTCTTTGGTGTTAAACAAAATTTATTGCTAGAAAAGTCTCGTAAGTACTAGAAAAAATCATAAAAATATTATAACCAATATGCAAAATATTATGCTGTTTAGTATAGCCAACCCTTAAAATCAAAATTTTGGGTGGGATAAAGTATCTCATTACAGCACCGAAAGCGGTGTTATAATGAAGTCATTATGAACGCAAAATATGTAGATGAAAAGTAATGTAATATTCCTTTAACCATTAAAGAAAAAAAGTGATCGAATTTATTTTAAATTTTCCACTTACCTGAGCTAAAAATAATTGCCACAATAAAGATACATTTAAACTTATACATGTTTTTGAAAATTAGCAAGTACTTACTAACTATACTAAAAATGCAAAGCAAAAATGCAAAAATAATTGTTACTCGCACAGGAAATGTTTTTTGATAGAAATTTTAAATTATTACAGCAATAACAATATTAATGTCAAGCGAAACCAGTGGCGGCTCGTAATTTTGTCTAAATACGAATAAATTTCCACCTTCTTTAAAATGGCCGATAGCCTCACTAAAACATTATAAATAAAAAAATAAACCAAGAAAAAACAAATCAATATTGCTTGTATTGGTATTTTAAAAACCTAACCTCAATTGAAACTCAATGTTGCTTAATAAAAACTGCTAATTCTACCTGTAGTTGATTTTTTACTTTTTATTGTGTAGAAAGAACTGTAGTAAAAGTACAGTCGTACGCCATTGAGCAAAACTAATATAATTTTAAAAAAATTGCATCCAATTTTATTTTTTTCGGAAGCACAAACACAATAAAAACAACACTTTAAACAGTAAAATAATATTAAAATACACATTTATTTTTTGCGTCATTAAATATTTTGTATGATATTTATTAGGGTGTACCAAAAAAACTCGATATATTTTTTTTCTTGCTCTCCACCCAAAATATCGTAGAATATGTCCGAACAAATATTCTGTTAAAAGCGGAGCTCATAATTTTAATTTTAAGAGGTCCTTTATCGAATCTGAAGTTTTGCCGCTTAAATAACACAGAAAACTGACTTTTTTATTTATTCTTGCAACCTAGGAGGAGTTTTTTTTCATAAAATCCATGACTTATTCTTACAAAGCATTAAATTTGGACAAATAAATCTTATTAAGCCGAATTTCCATTTTCATTATTTGATTTTTTACAGAGCTTTAATAATAGTTAATAATACAAAAATGATGACTTTATACGCCTGTAACTTTTAGAATATTGACGATACCAAAAATTCGCCTAAAACTTCAATAGTTTAGCTGAAAAAGGCAAAAAACGTAAAATTTTAAATTTAAAGCTCTGTAAAAAATCAAATAATGAAAATAGAAATTCGGCTTAATAAGATTTTTTCGTCCAAATTTAATGCTTTGTATGATTTGGTCATGGATTTTATGAAAAAAAAATGTCTTCCTATGTTGCAAGAATAAATAAGGTAAAAAAGTCAGTTTTCTGTGCTATTTAAGTGGCAAAACTTCAGATTCGATGAAAGACCTCTTAAAATTGAAATTATGAGCTCCGCTTTTAACAGGGTATTTGTTCGGACATATTCTACGATATTTTGGGTGGAGAGCAAGGAAAAAAAATATCGAGTTTTTTGGCACACCCTAATATTTATACATAAACAATTTATATAATTATTGTCTTATAAGAAATATAGTTCCCTCTTTACTCTTGGTCGTCTCTCAGTTCAGTCAGAAACTGGTTCAGCTCCATAAAAGTCACACCTGAATATAATTTTTTTCCAAAAATATTCAATACATTTTACTTTTACCTTTTTCAGCCTGCTCATCTGAATGTGGAGCAGTAGCAGCAGGCCACGCTTTTTCCATTGCAGTGTAGATGTTGCTTGATTGTGCCGCCATTGGTGGAGCCACCACATTCTTAATGTTAGCACCTAGTATAATAAAACAAAATTGTTTGAGCTACAAAGAAAAGAACTGTTTCAATACCTTTTTTCCTCGTGTTGGACAAGTTCGCGTTGAAGTGCCGCCCCGTCTTGGGGTTCACTTCCTGTCTTTGTGGCACCCACTTGGCGGCTCGCAGATCAATCACGTCTTGTACCAGGCGTTCCACGCGCGAGCTCACTATAATGGTGCGCCGTTCGACAATGTCGCGCATCACCTTGAATATCGGCTCGAGAGGGACGTTTTTCGTCTCCAGCTCTTTGCCGATGGTGGTGAGCAGCTTGCACAGGCACTCGAGGCTCTCCTCGTCCTTTTTGTCGAGCAATTTGTTCAAGCACCGCAGCATGATGTTCACGGTGAGCATCTGCTGCTTGAAAAGTTCGCCTGCAACATGGAAGAACAAAATGCATCTTGTTCTTGCAGTAAAACAATCTAAAAGGCGAGTTGGATAAAACTGTATATGAACTCTTAAAATATCACAGGTAAACGCTCAAACACGTAGGTAAACATAATTTTTGGTCGTAGATTACAAAAACATGCTCGGTCTAGCTGTATCTCTCTATTTAGATGGTTAAAGACAAGGAGGGAAAACATTTTGGTTTTTGGGGGACGTTGGACTGACCCAAAACTTACAATCTGAAATCCCCCTAGACTAGGGATTTAGTAATTGGGGTTTGGGTGTTTAGTTCGCTGCTTGGACCTATCCTTGATGGTCTTGAGCTACTCTCTGTTTGTTTGCGTCCGTGTCAGCTGAAAAATATCTTTGAATTTTGACCGGATACAGCTAAACCAAACACGAATTTGTAATCTACTACCAAAAATAAAGTTTACGTGTCCAAGCGTTTAGCTGTGATATTTTCACCTAAATACAGTGTAATCAGTCTTAAAGTGTCTTAAAAGAATTCATATTACCATATGGTTTCAGGTTAAAATTTATATAAAATGATATTAATGTTTCAATATTAAAAAATACTCACCAATAAATCTTACATTGCCCACACTCCTCATCGTTACTTTTCTATCGTACTTGTCGAGTTCAAACTGCAGGTCCTTCTTCTTGTCCGCATCAGCGGTGGCTTCGATTTCCTTCATCTTCACTTCTCTTGTGGACTCGTCCACCGATTGCTTCTCAAACTCAATCTGGCACTTGGTGATCAGCAACTTCTTAAAGTTGACAAAATCCGGCGCTTCGGGCGTGCTGTTCGCAGTAGGCACCTGAATCAGCGCCAACTCTCTGCACATCCGAGGGTAAACAACGGAGAAGTTCGGCTCGTCCACCGCCTTCTCGAACACCAAATCTATGACGCCCTGGAGGCGTTCGGCGTTGCTAAATTCAAGCTTGCGCGTTTGCGCGATCAAAGTGTCGAAATTTTTCGGGGTGAGCTTGTCAAGCACATCCTGCACTTTTTTGTAAAGTTCGGCCGTTTTTTTGTTCTCGTCCGGTTTTGAGTTTAAGTCCGAGTCGGAGTTTTCGCCGAATACCTCGTTTAGTCTGTCTTTGCCTGAAATAAATAAAAAAATATGAAGAATTGTGCATGATAATATATGTAATGTGGAATGTGAAAAAAAATTTGATGTATATAAAATGTTAAAAATTAAAAACTAATTAACTCTTTATAAAGAGTATTTTGAGAACTGTATATTTCAGAACCAAATAAAACAATTATTCTGACAAATTTACCTGTGTCAGGGTCTATGATGGAGATGGCGTTCGGTCTGTGGCCTCGTTTGAATCGCCGTTGCCGTATACGCAGATTTGGTATCGCAGGCTGGGCGGAATTTGAAGGCGCAGACGACTGCTGTTGCTGCGGTCGCACCATAGGACTGTAAGCTAAAAAAATCTCCGTCTAAAACCTTAATTATCAGCTATAATATCCCTAGGACATTGATAATGTACGAGATAATTTTATGACAATCGAAAGCACGTTGCTTGGTAACAGCCCGACGCCGAAGGGGTGTTACCCAAAGATAATACACCCTGTGTTACCAACAAACGTGATTGAGAAATTTGACATAAAATTATGAGGCATTTGTCAATGTCAGAGGGATATTCGGTCAGAAAATTTTTTGATAAAAAAATCAAATAACTCGCAACACAACGATTAAGTATTTATTAAAAGTACACATTATTTGGTTTATTTCAGAAAAACTTAATAAAACTGAACTGGTCTTACGTTTACATGAATATGCTTGCAGTTTCTTTCTGGTTGCATGGCGGGCATCTCGGGCAGGTTCATGTAAATACTATGCTGTTACACAGGTCAATCATTATCTTACATTCATTATAGTATTTCTGTTGCAAAAGTTTACACGTAACTTTCCACATGGTCTTAACAGTGGCTTCTTTAAATTCGGTCCCATCTTTCTTCCTCATATTGACCGCCCAATCTTTTATTATTAATGCCAGTTCTTCTTCGCTTCTATTCTCGTTTAAATAATATTTGCGTTCAAAGCAAAACTCCATAAATATCCCCCACGTATATTTATGACAACTTGTAGTATTTTTGGAAATGTTTTCTTTAATAAGCGCATTTATAGCTTTAAAATTCAAATTGCCAAAACGTGACGTATTGAAATTTATTTTATGAAATTGACAGTCTTGGTGTCATAGTGATTGACAACTTCCCTGAGTGTTGTTATCAGTTAAATGTTGAAATGATTGGGTGATTTGTGTCACATGACGAAAAATAAAATAATTTAAATGGCGGTTTGAACTGTCAAAAAATGTTCTTTGGGGTTTCCTCGAAAACTTCCTCAAACTTCAAATTTTGGGATGTTAATGAGTAAAACCGAGATAAATTGTGTGCCAAATTTCAAGCTTCCAAATGGTATAGCCAAATTATGCATTAACTTTACACAATTTATTTTAAAATTGTAGCAAAATTTCATATAAAATGTCTTTGTGATCCTAATCTCCACAGTATAAAACGCCACCTTTATGTGGGGCTGGGACTGTGTTACATGAAAATAGATGTAAAATTATAAGACGAGAGTCATTAGTGAGCGATTAAAATCGAGATGGTCCCGAGTAGGACCCTTGCGGCACCTCGGCAGCTGGAGAGTCATAAGAGGAGAGTCATTGGTGAACGATTAAAATCAAGATGGTCCCAAAAAAGAACCTTGAGGCACCTCCGACGATTGCACATTAAACAGTGACAAAACTTACATGTAGCTGGAGGTGAGGCGTAGTTTGTGGGCGCGAAGGCTTGCGGATGCATCAGCGGATCTAGGAAGTAAAAAATGTCTATTTTTTCCATTCATGGGAAAAATTTAGGGTTGTTGATATTATCGATAATTTATCGATAGTATCGATGTTAGACAATCGTACAGCACTATCGAAAGTATCGATAGTTGCCACTGCGACTTTCGATATGTCACGGTTATGTTTTGTTCCTGACTTGCAGCACACCGTTACCGAGCAAAGCAAACACTTCTTATTTATGTTCTTTTTTTGTGAGTCTGACTAAAATAAATTTGTCGTTTATATGTTTTTCTTTATTATTTACCTAGATATTTTATTAATTTGGTACTTCTTTAATTTAATTTTTTTAGCAATTTATGCATTATCCTAAAGAATATGTATATAAAAGAATATCGATAAACTATCGATAGTTTCGATATTTGAAACTATCAACATCGAAACTATCGATATTGATTTTTTCCCACTATCGCGAACACTAGAAAAATTGGGCAAAATTCAAATCACGTCATTAGTTCATGGAAATATCTAAATAGATGGCTCTGGTGTAAATGTGACGTAACGGAGATAAAAGAGTATCAAAATTAGATACCTATAGGTACTATTATATAGTACTAAAGAAGTAAAAGTAGTATTTGACTTACCTTGGTGGGTTTGTTCTGCATTTTGGCGAGTTGGTTTGAAGGTCCAGGCGATAATCTGCTATAGTAGTTCTGCTATGAAGTACAAACGTACCTACTAAAAAAATAGTTAGTATTAAGTATCAAATAAGTACTTACACTGTCACAATAATTATTGTTAACTCTTTTAAAATGACTAAATATATCTTATCATAGATAATAATATATGATTAGATATAATGCATTAATTATTTTTTTACAACGAAATTGAACCAAATTAACTCAACAAACCAGTGTGGACAAAATTAAAGGATGCACTGTTATGTACTCACTTTATTATTTATTAATTTTGACGCAGAAAATATAATATGCAAACACAAGCATAACAATTACATACCTATCTAAATATGTGATATCAATACGGGGAATCATTTAATTTTGATGTGTGTATCAAGATGAATCACTTACATAATTCAATCGGGGAAACGCAGCAAATTCGCTGATAGTTTTATAATATATTCTATGTGTTTGCAGGTACGATTTATTACAAAACACATTTTGGATGTTATAAAAATCACCATATAGAAAAGAGCATTTTAAGGAAAGTCTCTAGATTTAAAAAAATCACTAAATCTATAGTGAAATTTTACAGGACCTGCGGGAAAAAGTTTGCAGCAGGTCAATAATAGTTTGTTTGTTTGTTAAGGGTTTTTGTTACTTATTTTGGGAGGTTTGTAAATGATTTTTTGACGTAATTTGCTCCGATGATATAAACAAAACAAAATATATTTACTTAAAAACATTGTATTTATGTGAAGTTTTACGATACAGTTTTTATCAATTAAGATATCTATTTTATTTCACAATTTATCTTAATAATAGTAAATGCTTGGTAATACATCCTGTAGCTTAGACTACAGTCTATTTAGAATTTGTACCTGCATCTATGGAATTTCCATAATACAAAAATAACTTGATGAGGTTATATCAATACTTAAATTTAATTAATTAAAATGTCCCATAGGGTTTCGACAGTTTAGTAAATTGAGAAGTCCTCCTGGTCGTCCTTCAGTTCGGTTAAAAACTGGTTAAGCTGCTTGAGGGCCACACCTAAATGTGAAATTTTTTTTTTTAGAAAAATATTCGAAAAACACCACACCGATAAATTACCTTTTCCAGCCTGCTCAGCAGGATCGGTGCTGGCTTCCCAAGCCAGGAAACTTTCCAGAGAAATCGCCCACGGCTCGTACAAATTATGTACTATCGATAACAAAAGACCTGAAAAAATCAATTACATCAATACCAATATCGCAAGATTCGGAGCTGGGACTGAGATATATGTCTATAGACCACAAATAGAACTCAAAGTGGTCCCAAGACTAAACCTTGCGGCACCCCATCTAAAATCGCCGCTCTCACCTTTCGGATGTCCCATCTCGTTGACTAGGCTCTGCACCGCGTAGAGACATTGGAGCTCGGACTCGGAATTGTTGTCGATGTACTTTTGCAGCAGCACCAAATGACGGTGGAAGATTTCCACGCTAAGAGAATCCTTTTTGATGCTGTCCTTTAAAATGGCGGTCACCAGAGCGCGAATGAATTTGTTTTCTTTCACCCTGTCACCCACATTTGCCTGTCAGAGAAAGAATGTTTTTGCTTACAAAAAACTACCAGAAGACTTTCAATAAATGTCGCAAAATTTCGCGTAAAATGCTTCGAAAAACAACATTTTACATCCTAAACGTTGCTTTAATCTCCGCAGTATAAAACGCCACCATAAACCATGAAAATGATTTTATGTGGAGCTGGGACTGCGGTGTTAAAGTTAAAAAAAACTTACACCAATACAACTGCCGATTTCGTCGACATTCTTCTTGTTGATGAAGAATTCTGTGAGTTTGGCCTGAATTTGGTCGTAAGTGAATTCACCTTCACCCGCTGGCGTGTTGGCATCATTTTTATACTGTAATTTCTGCAGAAAAGTAGATTGTGACAAAAATCCCAAGATTTGTAAACGTACAAGAATGTAGCTTAGACTGGGCCAAAAAAATTGACTATTTTTTTTTTTGAAAAATATATCGAGAATGTCATTCAGAATGACAAATAAAAAATTTCGTGAAAATTTGAGCCCTTAATATTTATTTTAAGAGGTCTATCATCGCTATTTTTGATTTTTAGTCATAATTTGATGTTTTACGTTAGAACTGTCAAAACATTAAAGTGAAAAAATTCCTTTTCACTTATTTTTATATAAAATTAAATTCTCTACAAAAAAGGTCGGATTGAAAATTTTCGTCAGACGAGCCGTTTCCGAGTAATTGAGCTCAATAAATCGATGTGTTTTTTCGATTTGCCCTTTTTACTTTGAAATTTTGTAACTAATGAATCAATAAATATTTTAAAAAGCTCACGTCGGATTCTTAAAGGAAATTTAATGTTCTACAAAAAAGGTCTCTTAACATTTTTTCCTAAATTTAATTCTTCAAAAGTTATTCACGATTAAAATCGAAGAAAAACTTAAAATTTCAATTTTTTCTTCGTGAATAACTTTTGAAGAATTAAATTTAGGCAAATATGTTAAGAGACCTTTTTTGTAGAACACTAAATTTCCTTTAAGAATCCGACGTGAGCTTTTTAAAATATTCATTGATTCATTAGTTACAAAATTTCAAAGTAAAAAGGGCAAATCGAAAAAACACATCGATTTATTAGGCTCAATTACTCGGAAACGGCTCGTCTGACGAAAATTTTCAATCAGACCTTTTTTGTAGAGAATTTAATTTTATACAAAAATAAGTAAAAAGGATTTTTTATCACTTTAATGTTTTGACAGTTCTAACGTAAAACATCAGATTATGACTAAAAATCAAAAATAGCGATGATAGACCTCTTAAAATTAATATTAAGGGCTCAAATTTTCACGAAATATTTTTTTTGTCATTCTGAATGACATTCTCGATATATTTTTCAAAAAAAAAATAGTCAATTTTTTTGGCCCAGTCTAAATGTAGCTGATACATTGTATTGCACTAATCATGAAATGAATTAGCAAATATATCTACACAGTGTAAAACGCCACCACAAACCATAGAAATGATATTATATGGAGCTGGGACTGTGGTAACGCATACAATATTAAAGTTAGAAAAAAACTTACATAACCCAAGCTGTGAAGTTTGTCAACGTTCTTTTTGTCGAGGAAGAATTTGGTAATTTCTGCCTGAATTCGGTCGCAAGTGAATTCGCCTTCACCCACTGGTGTGTTGGCATCATTTAGGAACTCCAATTTCTGCAAAAAAGTAGATTGTAACAAAAATCCCGAGATTCGTAAAGGTACAGAAATGTAGCTGATACATTGTATTGCACTAATCATCGACTGAATTAGCAAACATAGCGAGCACAGCCAGTCAATCTTCACAGCGTAAAACGCCACTATAAACCATGGGAAGGATTTTATGTGGGGCTGGGACTGTGGTACAAAAAATAAATAAAACAGACCTCCTATCAACAAAAACTTGCAGTCATTTAAGAGAGAGTCAAATCTAAGTGGTCCCAAGAAGAAACCTTACGGCAAAATTGCGTGTATAAGCGATAACCAAAGTGGTACGAAAAGGAAACCTTGCTGCACTTTTTTAACGAAATTAACCCTTGATATTTGATATGCACTGTAAAAAAATTTTAAAAACTTCTTTAAATTAATCCAAAAAATGCATTCCCCAACAAAAATATGCAAGTTTATGAGAAAGTCAAAGTGGTTACAACAAAAATTGGTTTAAGAAAATAACTGATAACTTTCACTCTTAATTTTTGATATGAACTGTAAAAAAATCTTAAAACCTCTTCATCATTAGGTAAATTAATCAAAAATTGCTTTCATCAAAAAAATATGCAGTCTTTTATGAAAAGGCAAATCTAAGTGCCCCCAAAATTGCGTTTATAAGCGATATTAAGGAAAGTGGTACGAAAAGGGAACCTTGTGGCACTTTTTTAACGAAATTAACTCTTGGTATTTGATATGGACTGTAAAAAATCTTAAAAAGGTGCCCTTATAAACGAAAATACCTGATAACTTTGTACGGGAGCGGCGCGTCTGTTGCTGCCGCCTCCGGATTTCTTCTCTTGCGTGTACGAATCGCTTTCGTTCGCATTTTCCAGAGCGGCGTTGATGTTGTTCGATTGCGCCCCCATCGGCGGAGCCACCACATTTTTAATGTTAGAACCTGACAATAACAAATTAATTGTTACGCTTTGCGGTATTTTCTTTTTGGAAATGGCCCAAATATATGATATATATGACAGGAACGCAACTATATTATTTTATAATGTCAATTCTAACCTCTGAACAAAATATATATTAAACAAATATTAGAAATATTCCCCAACATCAAAACAAAACACAAAGTGCTTAAAGTACTTTTCGCCAACGATGTTATATATATTTTTTACAGGTAAATTATGATATTTAAAAAAATTGTTTAAACTACTTTATTTTTCAATTAATTTTACTAAAATTTCTTAAGAAACTTTTAAAATACCAAAAATATAGTTTTTAAGCGATACAAATAACGATGGTCCAAAATAGGAACCTTGTGGCACCCCAGCAAAACTACCACATTTTAATCAATAGTACCTAAGTATAATTTTTATGGGTTAATTATGATCAATTTATTTATAAAAACTGGGAAAATTGATCACGCTTCCTAGAAATCGCAAAAAATTTTTTAAAAATTTCTAAAATACCAAAAATATAGTTTTTAAGCGATACAAATAACGATGGTCCAAAATAGGAACCTTGTGGAAAAATGTCAAAAAAGTAAGAATTTATTTTTTAGTTAATTTTCCTAAAATTACTTAAAAAAAACAAAAATTTAGTTTTTAAGCGGTAAAAATCACGATGGTCCACAATGGGAAGCTTGTGGCACCACAGCAAAAAATATATGGTACTTTTTGTAAAAATTGATTAAATCGCAAGTAAAAACTATTGAAATACAAAAAAAATGACCCAAACCAAAAAAATAAATTAAAAAAAAATTTTTCCATACCTTTTCCCCACGTGTTGAACAAGTTGGCGCTACCCAGCGACATCTCCTCCATCTGCGGCGGCTTGCTCTTCAGCTTGTCGCTCTGCACGCTGAAGTGCTGCTGCGCGCGGTGGTTCCTCCCCGTCTGTATCCACCCGTCGTCCCCGACGTTGTTCTTGCGCTGCTTCCCTCCTCCGCCGCCTCTATCCCCGGAGTTCGCCTTTTCCAGCGCGTCGTAGATGTTGTTCGATTGCGCCCCCATCGGCGGAGCCACCACATTTTTAATGTTGGAACCTGACAATAACAAATTGTTAATTGTTACGTTTTGCGGTATTTTCTTTTTAGAAATGGCCCAAATACATATATGATATATATGACAGGAACGCAACTATATTATTTTATAATGTCAATTTTAACCTCTGAACAAAATATATATTAAACAAATATTAGAAATATTCCCCAACATCAAAACAAAACACAGTGCTTAAAGTACTTTTCGCCAACGATGTTATATATATTTTTTTACAGGTAAATTATGATATTTAAAAAAATTGTTCTAACATTAAAAATGTGGTGGCTTTATTTTTCAATTAATTTTCCTAAAATTTCTTAAGAAACTTTTAAAATACCAAAAATATAGTTTTTAAGCGAAACTACCACATTTTAACCCATAGTAAGAACCTAAGTATAATTTTTATGGGTTAATTATAATAAATTTATTTATAAAAACTGGGAAAATTGATCACGCTTCCTAAAAATACCAAAAATGTAGTTTTTAGGCCATTAAAATCACGATGGTCCAAAATAGGAACCTTGTGGAAAAATGTCAAAAGTTAATTTTCTAAAATTACTTTAAAAAAAATTTAAAAAAACAAAAATGTAGTTTTTAAGCGATAAAAATCACGATGGTCCACAATGGGAAGCACCACAGCAAAAAATATATGGTACTTTTTATAAGTCAGTAAAAATTGATAAAACTATTGAAATACAAAAAAATTGAACCAAACCAAAAGAATAAATTTAAAAAAAATGTTTCCTCACCTTTTCCCCACGTGTTGAACAAGTTGACCCTGCCCAGCGACATCTCCTCCATCTGCGGCGGCTTGCTCTTCAATTTATCGCTCTGCACGCTGAAGTGCTGCTGCGCGCGGTGGTTCCTCCCCGTCTGTATCCACCCGTCGTGGTAATGTATCAACAAAAGACAAAATCATTATCAAAGCGTCATTTACGAATGATAAAGATCAAGGTGGTCCCAAGAGGGAACCTTGTGGTACCCCGGCATATTATGATTGATTATCTTACCTGGCGTGCGAACGTCGTCTGCATTTCAGAGTCCGAGTTTTCGCCGAATACCTCGTTTAGTCTGTCTTTGCCTAAAATAAATAAAAAAATATGAAGAATTGTGCATGATAATATAAGTAATGTGGAATGTGAAAAAAAATTTGATGTATATAAAATGTTAAAAATTAAAAACTAATTAACTCTTTATAAAGAGTATTTTGGGAACTGTATATTTCAGGACCAAATAAACAAAATATTCTGACAAATTTACCTGTGTCAGGGTCTATGATGGAGATGGCGTTCGGTCTGTTGCCCCGTTTGAATCGCCGTTGCGGCAGACTTGGCATCGCAGGCTGTTGCTGCGGTCGCACCATATAATTGGAATCTAAAAAAATCTCCGTCTAGAACATGTGTCCTTTGGGGTTTCCTCGAAAACTTCCTCAAACTTTAAATTTTGGGATGTTAATGAGCAAAACCGTGATAAAATGTGTGCCAAACTTCAAGCTTCCAAATAGTATAGTCAAATTATGCATTAGGTAACTTTTTAACACAATTTATTTTAAAATTGTAGCAAAACTTTATATAAAATGTCTTTGAATAACAACATTCTATATTGGAAACTTTGCTTTAATCTCCACAGTATAAAACGCCACCACAAACCATGGAAACGATCTTATATGGAGCTGGGACTGTGGTACATGAAAATAGATGTAAAAATATAAGACAAGAGTCATTAGTGAGCGATTAAATCGAGATGGTCCCGAGTAGGAACCTTGCGGCACCTCGGCAAAAATTAGCGCGTCAAAGGGCGTCTCAAAAACTTAGTCTTTGTTGAATTGCCATTGGCCTAAGAGATTATAGTATTTCAGTTTTTAGGTATTATCAAAACTGTATTTTGCAATGTTTGGGTGATTTATTAACGATGAAAATCAAAGTGGTCCCAAAACAGATCCTTGTGGCACCCAAAACTTACCGTCTTCGTATTGAAGGGTTTTGGCCTTGGTCTCTTTGGCTTTGGCCTCGTTTTTGACCTGAACCAGTTTGGCTTGAGGGGCCGCCGAAACCGTTGGAGGCGGATTGTTCTTGACCAAGCTCTCAACGTCGAGCTTCTCCTTTCTGCTGATTGTCTTCGGGACTGCATCTTTGCTCGTGGCGCTGAAGGTGGTGTTTTCGTTGGTGTCCGCCTCCTTCTGGATCTTGGGGTTCGCGTCATGTTTTTGCGGCATCCAGTTGGCGCTGCGCAGATCCATCACGTCTTGCAGCATGAGTTTCACGCGCGAGCTCACTTTGATGGGGCGTTGTTCGACTACGTCGCGGATACCCTTGAAAATCGGCTCCAGAGACACGTTATCATTTTCAAGGTCTTTTCCAATGGTGGTGAGCAGCTTGCATAAGCACTCGAGGCTCTCTTCGTCCTTCTTGTCGAGCAACATTTGCATAATGTTGACGGTAGACATTTTTATTGACAATATTGCTGTGGGTAAAGGGCATAAGGATAAGTCAAAAAAACATTTTTTTAGTTAAGCCTTAAAACCTATTCGCATCAATTCAGGAAAGATATTTTTTTGCGAGAATCAAATAGTTTGTGGATAAATAGATTAAATTATATACCTACTAACTTCAAATATTAAAAAAAACTGCAACTAGGTATAAAATTTTAAATTATATTCTTTTTACAGATTAAATATTAAAATTAAAATGGTTTAAAAAATTTATTTGGAAATTATATAGGTACTTACAAAGAAATAGTATTTCACTGTCACAAATTGAAATGACTTACTATTAATCTTATCCCATGATAAGATATAATAAATTAATAGATTAAAAAAAAAACAAATAAATATTCCCAATTTTTAACAAAATTGAACCAAAATAACTAAAAAAATTATTAGCTACAATAGGTGTGGCCATATCAAAAATTAAAGGACGCACTGATAACATAAGCACTCAATAGGGGTCACGCGCCAAATCGTAAAACTGTTAAGTTATGGGTTCGTCATTGGCGTGAAAATGGTTCTGTACAAAATTTGAAGAAGCCTGGACGTCGAAGAACAGTTCGTACACCAGAAAATATTGAACGAGTTAGAATTGCGTTTACGAGAAGTCCTAAAAGGTCTGCTAATCGACAAAGCCTTATCCTAGGAATATCAAAGGGAAGCTTAGATCGAATTCTTCAAAAGGATTTAAAATTTCATCCCTGTAAATACCAAATGGCACATCACCTTAGCAATCAAGATAAAGAAGCAAGGTTAGCATTTTGTCAAGAATTTTTGGATTTACATCAAGGAGCAATTCACAGTCTCTTAATGAGCGACGAAGCAAATTTTTATTTGAACGGCATGACGTTCCACGAAATTATTAATTTAAAACTTATTTGATTAATAATTAACTTAAATCCCAAAAACTATAGAATATATTCCCATGGAGAACTTATTTAGTTATCTCGTAGGGAATTTATTAATAAAATAAAATGGGTAGTCTATTATGGGGAACCCTGTATAACATGCAAACCTAATTACATATCTAAATATGTGATATCAATACATGCGGGGAATCATTTAATTTTGCTGTTTGTGTCGAGATTAATCACCCACATACCACATACCATCTATCGGGGAAACCCAGCAAATTAGCTGATGGCTTTGTTAGTAATCTATCTGTGTTTGCAACTACGATTTATTACAAATCACATTTTGGATGTATAAAAAATTACTATATAGAAGTAAAGTCTACTCTAAATCCCTAGATTTAAAAAAATCACTAAATTTATAGTGAAATTTTACAGGACCTGGCAACTCTGGACTGCAGGTAAAAAGTTTGCAGCAGGTCAATAATAGTTTGTTTGTTTGTTTGTTTGTTTGTTAAGGCTTTTTGTTACTTATTTTTGGTGGTTTGTAAATGATTTTCTGACAAAATTTGCTCTGATGATATAAAAAAAACAAAATATATTCACTTAAAAACACTGTATTTATAAATGTGATATTTTACAATAAAGTTTTTTATTATTTTATTTCACAATTTATCTTAATAATAGTAAATGCCTGGTGGTAATAACATCCTGTAGCTTAGACTACAGACTATTTAGAATTTGTACCTGCAACTATGGAATCTCCATAATACAAAAATAACTTATATTTCCAAATACTTGATAAAGAAAGTGATGTGATTATATTAATATTTAAAGTTAATAAATTAAAATATCTCATGGGGTTTCGACAGTTTAGTAAATTGAAGTTATTACTAATAATTATATATTTTATATTCCTTTAAAAAAAATAGTTCATTTTGTTTTGTTAGGTTGCCTTGCCGTCCGAATTCTAGTCTTCCTGGTCTCTTTCAGTTCAGTCAGAAACTGGTTCAGCTGCTTCATGGCCTCACCTAAATAGAAATATAGAAATATATTCATAACATTTCACTTTGGAAAAAATTACCTTTTCCAGCCTGCTCGGCAGGATCGCTGCTGGCTTCCCAAGCCAAGAACCCTTCCAGAGAAATCGCAAAAGACTCGTACAAATTATTTACTATCGATAACAAAAGACCTGCAAAAATCAATTACATCAATACATTTTAATATCAATGTCGCAAGATTCGGAGCTGGGACTGAGATAGACCACAAATAGAACTCAAAGTGGTCCCAAGACTGAACCTTGCGGCACCCCCATCTGAAATTGTTCCTCTTACCTTTCGGATGTTCCATCTCGTTGACAAGGCTCTGCATTGCGTAGAGAGATTGAAGCTCAGAGTCAAAATTGTTGTCGATGTACTTTTGCAGCAGCACCAAATGACGGTGGAAGATTTCCACGCTAAGAGAATCCTTTTTGATGCTGTCCTTGAGAATGGCGGTCACCAGGGCGCGGATGAATTTGTCTTCTTTCACCCTGTCCCCCACATTAGCCTGTTGGAGAGGAAATAAGAGTTTTCTTTTGCTAGGAACAACTACAAGAGTGGGGCGAAACTATGGAAAAAGTTGTATGTGGAGCTGGGACTGGCAGCACATTTAATATTTTTCGAAATAAAAAAACTTACATCTATCCACCTGGAAATTTCTTCAACATTACTTTTGTTGATAAAGAATTCGGTTAGTTTGGTCTGAATTTGGTCGTTGGTGGCATCATTTAGGAACTCCAATTTCTTAAAAAACATGGAAATGATCTTATGTGGAGCACAAAAACAGAAACAAACGTTATCAAACTGAAACATGTATATAATAAAAACCTCTTCTTGAATACATTGCTTTCCTGAACAAAAATATACCTACTATCTTTTATGAGAAAGTTAGAACTAAGGGGCCCCAAAAAGGAACCTTGTGGAACTCCAACAAAAATGTATTTATGAGCAATAAGTAGTACTAAAATGGTCACTTTTTTAACTAAAATGTTTTAATTTTGTACTTACAAAGTCTCTGACGAAGGATTCCACGGCGGCGGGCAGAGGAGCGGCCGGTTGCTGCTGCTTCAGCTGAGGGGGGCCCCAGTGCTGCCTAAAGGCCACGTGGCCTTTCGAGTGGTAGGCGTCGCATCTGTTGCAGCCGCCGGATTTCTTCTCTTGCGTGTACGAATCGCTTTCGCTCGCTTTTTCCAGCACGTCGTAGATGTTGTTCGATTGCGCTCCCATTGGTGGAGCTACCCCAAGTTTAAGTTTAGAACCTAAAAATAATAAATTGTTACGTTTTGCGGTATTTTTTTTTGGAAGTGGCCCAAAATAGAAGCCATTTAGGAAAATATATGACAGGAAGGCAACTACATTATTTTTATAATTTCGATTCTAACCTGGGAGTTCGATTTTATCCTTTATGTGCTCTATAAAAAAGTCTGTTGATAGTTGACTTTGATCCAAGAGGGATAAAATAGGGTTCCCGGTATAGAAATAAACTGGTACTTCCTGATAATATCGCAAGCTTTGACCTTTCAGCGAGGTATTTTGTGATTTGTCCAATCGATTTAGTGGATGTTTCAAGATTTGAAATTCTTCGAGAAGCTCATGAAAGTAAAACCTTGTAACTGGGCAGTAAGAGCCTAATTGGCTCAAGTCCAATTCTCTCGAAAGAGAGAATAAAAAGTTTAGAAGAAGAAAAAGATTCGATTAGAAATATTCCCCCAAACACCAAAACAAAACAAAACACAAAGTGCTTAAAATACTTTGCGCCAATGATGTTGGCATCTTCAGAAGCGAATAGTAATAAATAATATATTTTTTACAGGTAAATTATGATATTCACGGTGCTGTTCTGAGAGGTGATTTTTGGACTTTCTGTGAAACCTAATTTTTTTTATATTCTTGTTAATTAGGTCATAACTAAAATTTTAAGAGCAAAATAAAAAAAATTTCACGGTTTGAATTGTTTTAATTGGCTGTTTATTAAAAATATTATGCACTCTTTCAATTATCCAATTAAAACTAGCGATTTAATTTAAATATTTAATATTTGCATAACTAAAAAAAAGGTTCTTACATTTTTTTTTATATATTTTACTGTTTTGTTGCAATAAACGTTCAAACTTTTAATCTAACCTTTGACGTATACATTTATGTTCCCTTAATTAATATATCCTTAAAGGTTGCCATGAAACTTAGATCTATTAAAAATTTATTTGCAAATGTATTATTTGCATGACGTTTGAATTGTCATTTTTAGTATACGTATTCTATAATTTTTGTTTAGTTTTTTAAAGTGTTTTTTATAAAAATTTTAGTAAAAGTTACGAATAAATTCATGAAATTTAACTAAGGACCGGTTTATTCATCTTTAGTAAAGTTTATCGGGCCGATAACTTTCATGTCTTGGCAATATCTAGTATCCAAAGAAATTATTCGTCAAATAAATCAAAAATGAATAAATCGGCCCTAAATAAAATGTGGCATTGTTTAATAAATGTATACTATACATTTAACCTTAAATTAAAACTTTAAACGTGTATTACAACAAAACAGTAAAAGATATATAAAATGTATAGGAAATTAACTAATCTTAAATCTGATTTAAAAAGTTATATTTAAATAAAATCGCAAGTTTTAATTGGAGAATTGAAAGTGTGCATACATATTTTTAATAAACATCCAATTAAAACAAAATTAACCGTCAAATTTTTTTTATTTTGCTCTTAAAATTTTAGTTATGACCTAATTAACAAGAATATAAAAAAAATTAGGTTTCACAGAAAGTTAAAAAATCACCTCAGAACAGTATTTAGATGTAAAAACACAGTGAGAATTTAAACTTCTTTATATTTCAGTTAATTTTCCTAAAATTTTAGGCGATAAACATCACAATGGTCCAAAATAGGAGCCTTGTGGTACCCCAGAAAAACTACCACATTTTAACCAATAATATTTTTTTATGGGTTAATATTAAAAATCGTGAAAAATATAAATGAAACAGTGAGAATTTAAACAAATTTTGATTTTTAGTTGATTTTCCTAAAATTTCTTAAATACCAATAATAAAGTTTTTAAGCGATAAAAATCAGGATGGTCCACAATGGGAACCTTGTGGCACCACAGCAAAAAATATATGGCACTTTTTATAAAATCTGTAAAAATTCTAAATAAAAATTAATGAAATTCAAAAAAAATTACCCAAACCAAAAAAATAAATTAAAAAAAATTGTTTCCATACCTTTTCCCCAGGTGTTGAACAAGTTGGGGCTACCAAGCGACATCTCCTCCATCTGCGGCGGCTTGCTCTTCAGCTTGTCGCTCTGCACGCTGAAGTGCTGCTGCGCGCGGTGGTTCCTCCCCGTCTGGATCCACCCGTCGTCCCTCACGTTGTTCTTGCTGTTGTAGTTGCAAATGTCGTTGGGCTTTTCCCTCAGGCTGAACAGGAATTCTTTGTTGTAGACTTTCTTGCCGTCTCTGTTGAAGGGCGGCCATTGGCCTAAGATTTCAAGTTCTATCAAAACTGTATAGTGTTTAGGTGATTTATTTACGATAAAAATCAATGTGGTCCCAAGACAGAACCTTGTGGCACCCAAAACTTACCGTCTTCGTATTTGAGGTTTTCGGCGTTGGTCTCTTTGGCTTTGACCTGGACCAACGGTTTGTTGGGGGATTTGTCCTCCAAAGATGATGCGAGGAGTTTGGCTTGAGGGGCCGCCCAAACCTTTGGAGGCGGTTTGTTCTTGACCAAGCTCTCAAGGTCGACCTTCTCGTTTCTGCTGATTGTCTTCGGGACTGCATCTTTGCTTGAGGCGCTGAAGGTGGTGTTTTCGTTGGTGTCCTGGGCCTGAATCTTGGGGTTGACGTCATGTTTTTGCGGCATCCAGTTGGCGCTGCGCAGATCTTGCAGCATGAGTTGCACGCGCGAGCTCACTTCGATGGTGCGCCGCTTGACGATATCGCGCATACTCTTAAAAATGGGCTCCAGAGACACGTTCTCATTTTCCAAGTCTTTTCCAACGGTGGTGAGCAGCTTGCATAAGCACTCGAGGCTCTCTTCATCCTTCTTGTCGAGCAACATGTTCATGATGTTGACGGTAGACATTTTTGCTTGAAAAGTTCGCCTGTAATTTGGCTTTTGCCATTCTGTGGGTGAAAGGCATAAGGATAAGTCAAAAAAACATTTTGTTAGTTAAGCCTTAAAACCTATTCGCATTAATTCAGGAAAGACAATTTTTTTGCGAGAATCAAATAGTTTGTGAATAAAAAGAATAAGAAGATATATATATAGGTCCCTTAATCTTTTTATTCTATATAGATTAAATTATATACCTAGTTACCTTAAGGTAATTACTTCAAATATTGAAAAAAAAAATTGCAACCAGGTAATTATATTCTTTAGGTTTAGGTTCTTAGGTTAAAATGGTTTACAAAATTATTTGGAAATTATAAAAATTATTGTTAAATACTTACAACGAAATAGTATTTCACTGTCACAATAACTGTTTTCAAATGATTTACTATTAATCTTATCCCATGATAAGATATAATGCATTAATAGTTTTTTAACAAAACCAAAATTGAACCAAAATAACTAAAAAAATTATTAGCTACAATCGGTGTGGCCATATCAAAAATTAAAGGACGCACTGATAACATAAGCACTCACTGTTAAATTTATTATTTATTAATTTTGACGCAGAAAATATAAAACGCAAATCCAAGCATAACAATTACATATCTAAATATGTGATATCAATACCGGGAATCATTAAATTTTGCTGTTTGTATCGAGATGAATCACCCACATACCACATACCAAAGAACACCTTTGCCCACGGTCTTATATACAGGTCTTGCAACTTCGCCCAATTTCAATAGGAAAAGTGACCTCTCTAATGAGACACCCACCAGATGGCGCATCGAGTTGAGGGTGAACCATAGATGTTTAAAGGTCGTTTTTACCTTCTTTATCTTTGGGTTTTACAATCGTTAGATAAGCTCTCTGGTGGATAATGTTGTATACTTTTGGAATACAGTTTGTAGTATAGTTGGTTGCCTAATGACATTAATAAGTGAGTGCTGCCAACACAATAAAAACAGAGTGCTTATTACAAAATGGTGTTTGTCTGTATTAGTGTTCGCGATAGTGGGAAAAAATCAATATCGATAGTTTCGATGTTGATAGTTTCAAATATCGAAACTATCGATAGTTTATCGATATTCTTTTATATACATATTCTTTAGGATAATGCATAAATTGCTAAAAAAATTAAATTAAAGAAGTACCAAATTAATAAAATATCTAGGTAAATAATAAAGAAAAACATATAAACGACAAATTTATTTTAGTCAGACTCACAAAAAAAGAACATAAATAAGAAGTGTTTGCTTTGCTCGGTAACGGTGTGCTGCAAGTCAGGAACAAAACATAACCGTGACATATCGAAAGTCGCAGTGGCAACTATCGATACTTTCGATAGTGCTGTACGATTGTCTAACATCGATACTATCGATAAATTATCGATAATATCAACAACCCTAGTCTGTATTACAATTGTTTAAGTTATAATTAGATTAATAATAAATAGTGAATTGAACTACAATGTGTTTTAATAAACATAACATGGCGCAGTCGGACTTTTAAAGAAAAAGAAACAAGAAAGAAAGGAAGATAAAACAAAAAGAAGAAAAAGTAAGGTTAAACACGTGTTAAGTCGACAAAGAAAAATAATAAAAATGGAATTCTTAAAACAGCCTAAGCCTATGTGCCTGCAAGGAGATTTAGCAACAAATTTTAAGAAGTTTAAACAAAACTTTCAGTTATATGTGACTGCAACGGGATGTTCAGAAAAATCCGTGGAAATCAAAGCTGCTGTGCTGTTACACACAATTGGTGAAGAGGTATTGGAAATTTTAGAGACACTAGGACTTAGTGAAACCGAAATGAAAAATCAAGAAAGCATTCTAAAAAAATTAGAAGAGTATTTTGTTCCAAAAACAAACACAAGCATTGCAAGACAACGGCTGAACCATAGAAAACAAGGTGTAAGCGAAGAATTTGATTCTTTTCTTAAAGAGTTAAAGACAATGGCAGCAGAGTGTGATTATGGTACTCTCAAAGATAGTATTATAAAAGATGTTATAATTAGTGGAATCCATAGTGAGAGAATTAAAAATAGATTACTTACATATGATGGCGAATTAAATCTGGAAAAAGCGATACAAATATGCAAGGCAGCAGAACAAGCAGACAAAAACATAAAAATTCTTAACGAAGAAACTAGTAAGCTACACACCTTAAATAAAATCACACCACGAGGGCAACAATCTGGCAGAGGTGAAGAACGTGTACATACATGGGAACAACAGACACACAGAGGACAACAATCATATCGAGGACAACAATCCCAAAGAGGGCAACAGTTCTACAGGGGACATCAATCACACAGAGGACAAGAACACCAACAGAGCAGTAGATTTAGTCATGTTAATCAGGTAACTTGTTTTTATTGCGATTTCCAGCACGGCAAAAAACGACTATTGTCCAGCTAGAAATAAACAATGTGTTTTTTGTAAGAAATATGGACATTTTGCACGAGTTTGCAGATCGCAACATAAACAGTTAAATAATATTAAGGTCGAATCTGAACCAGTAAATGTAAATTCATATGTTTTGGACTCAATTTCAAGTGAGTTTAAAAAAGAATGGTGTGTTGATATTTTTATAGTAAATTGTAATTTGGAACAGAAATTTAAAATAGACACGGGTGCCCAAATTAACGCCATTCCATATCATATTTTTACAAAATTTAATTTGAATGAAGACATTTTAAAAGAATGTAGTTATAATATATCTAACTATACAGGATCCAGAATCTCAGTGGTAGGTAAATGCACATTTGAAGTTAAATACAAAGACAAGTTTTATGATTTAGAGTTCATTATAGTAGAAACAGAGATAGGTAGTTCCCCTGTATTAGGTTTACCTGCAATTGAGAGACTGGAAATCCTAAAGAAAATAGATAGAATTGAAAATTTGACAAAGAATATAAGTAATTCAAATGACATATTTAATAAATACGGCGAACTGTTCAGGGGAATCGGAAAAATTGAAGGCTATAAATGTGATTTTAAACTTTTACCAAATTACAAGCCAAGTGTGGCAACATGTAGGAAAGTCCCATTTCATTTAAAAGATAAACTTAAAATAGACTTAGATAATCTTTGCAAAGACAAAATTATTGAAAGAGTAACCGTGCCAACAGAATTTGTCAATCCAATCACCTTAGTTAAAAAACCAAATGGAGATATTAGAATTTGTCTGGATCCACAAAATTTAAATAATTGCCTAATTAGAGAATACGAACATTTAGTCACTTTTGAAGAAATTACTAGCGACATGGCGGGGTCAACGTGTTTTTCGGTTTTAGATGCGAATAAAGGGTTTTGGCTTATAGAATTGTCAGAAAAAGCGTCATTATTAACAACCTTTACAACGCCTTTTGGCAGATATAAATTTAATAGAATGCCCTTTGGCATAAAAGTAGCTCCCGAAATATTTAGTAGAACATTTACAGAACTTTTTTCCGATATAAAAGGGGTTAAAGTATATCAAGATGATATCATTGTTTATGGAAAATCTTCAGAAGAACATAATAACATTTTAAACAGAGTATTGCACAGAGCATTAGAAAAAGGGGTACGATTTAATAAAAACAAATGTAAATTTTTTGTAGAAGAGGTTAAATATGTAGGTCACGTAATATCGAAAAAAGGAATTAGCTTAGATCCAGATAAAATTGAGGCAATAAAACAGATTAAAAGACCCACAAATACTAAAGAATTGACACGTTTTCTTGGTATGGTCACCTATGTATCAAAATTTATCCCGAATTTGTCAAAGCTAACGGTTAACTTAAGAAATCTGACTAAAAAAGCAGTCGAATTTGTGTGGTTAGAAGCACAAAATTACGAATTTAACAATTTAAAAGAAATATTGTCTAAAGCGCCGGTTCTACAATTTTACAATGAAAAAGAGCCGATTACTTTATCAGTTGACAGCTCAAAAGACGGTCTGGGAGCGGTTATCTTACAAAACGAGGGTCCAGTAGCATACGCTTCGAAAAGCTTAAATAAATCACAACAAAATTACGCACAAATAGAAAAGGAAATGCTTGCCATCACCTTCGGATGTCAGCGTTTTCACCAATATCTTTATGGGAAACATTTCCTGGTAGAAACAGACCATAAGCCGTTAGAGGCTATTTTTAAAAAACCATTAAATGACTGCCCCTTGCGCCTGCAGAGACTACGAATTACTTTAGGAAATTACGATTTTACGGCGAAATATAAACCTGGATCGCAATTATACTTCGCGGATACACTTAGTAGAGCAAGTTATGTTGATAAAAACTTTTCAATAATGGAGGAATCTGATGCGCAAATTAACATGATTTATGACGATAATATCATAAGCCAGAATAAATTACAAAAAATAGCGAAAGAAAATGAAATAGACCCTGAAATGTCCAAATTAATAATAACTATTAAACAAGGTTGGCCTGATCACAAAAGCAAACTGGAGTACACTTTAAGACCTTATTGGAATCATAGAGCAGAGCTAGTCATAATAGACGGAGTAATTTTCAAAAATCAACAAATAGTAGTTCCAAAAATTTTCAGAAAAGAAATGATAGCTAAATTACACTATAATCATTTAGGCATAGAAAAAACAATATTGCGAGCAAAAGAGGTAGTATTTTGGCCTCTGATCAGCAAAGAGATAGAGGATTTAGTCAGCAATTGCCCAACTTGTTTAGTCTGTCAAAATAAAAATCAAAAAGAGCCAATAATTAATAGAGAGTTACCCAGTAGGCCATGGGAAATGGTCGCTACTGATTTATTTGAATTAGACGGTATAAGTTACTTATTAGTTGTAGACTATTTTTCGAAATATCCGGAAATTGTTAATCTTAAAAATAATACCACATCCGAGTGCATTATAAACAAATTAAAAGATATTTTTGCTCGGTACGGTATTCCAGATAAACTCCTTAGCGATGGAGGTCCGCAATATTCTAGTACAAAATTTAAAAATTTTAC